GAATCCGGCGCCCCGACCGGGACTAGAACCCGGTGTGCCGGCGCAGCAAGGCGGAGGATTAGCCCAGTGAGCTGCGGTGCCGGCCGCTATCCTATTTTTAGGAGCACCTCCAACACTGGGCTTCTAGGTAAAAAAGAAAATCCAAACCTTCCCTTAAAATACATTCTCTTAAGAATTTGACTAACACCAAAACAAGAGCTAAAATCTAAGGAGGGAAGTACACACTACTCGTGAAGTTTTTCCAGAATCCAGGGGTCTTTCTAGGAACAGCTAAAGCTAGGGTTCCAGTGCAGAATATAAAGAACTTCAGTAAAAAATTGAGGGACAGGCTATTGTAGCACAGTGGGTTAAGCTGCTCCTTGGGATGCCTGTATCCCAATTGCAGTGCCTGACTCTTCTGTGCTTCTAACCCAACTTCCTGCTCATGTACCTGGGGGGCAGCAGATGATACTTTGGCCTGGCCTAGCCTGGGCCACTGGGGGCATTTAGGGAGTGAACCTGTGCATGGAAGATCTCTCTCTCCACATTTCAAATAAATAAGTAAATCTTTTAAGAAGTTAAGAAAGGCTTTTTTTCTATGTATAAATTTAAAAGCAGTGAATACATACTTTTCTTTCCTGTCCAAGGGCCCAGGAGAATCCAGACAGAAACCTGTGGAAAATTAAAAAAAAAAAAAAAAAAAAGTGAGGAAATAATACACAAATTCCATTTTGTTAAAATACATAGATAACATTCTCATAATATATATACATGAATCCCCTTCTACTGGCAATTGCCATCAAAGGAAATAGAATTTATGGAGGGTGAATTAAACTTATTCACATCATGCATAGTTATTCAAAACATACTGTATTTTCCTGGAATAGTTTTGATTTCAAGTATTTTGTCTCATCAAATTATCCAAGTAATTCTGAGGATTATAAAGTACAATTATGGAACAGACATTTGGTGCAGCAGTTAAAACACCACCAGGGATGCCAGTATCCCATAGAGTGCCCAGGTTCAAATTCAAGCTCTTTTTCAATTCCAGTTTCCTGCTAATTAGCATCGTGGGAAGCAATGGTGATGCCTCAAGTAAATTAGATCTGCCATACACATGGAAGACCAGAATAGAGTCCGTGGTTCCTGGCTTCAGCCTGGCCCAGCCCTGTCCTTAGCAGGCATTTGGGAAGAAGTGAATGGAAGAGCTCTCTGATTTCAAATACATAAAAATAAATATTTTTTAAAAGAAAAATATATTAATCATCACACAAGGCAGACATTGGCTGCCTTTAACAAAATGACTCCAAGAAAGGTGTCCATCTCTCCAAAAGTAGTAGGGTGGAGGAGACACTGCTCAGTACTACTTCTGTGCTAGCTAAGACCCACCAGCACATGCCAAGCTCACACCGCTCCATGATGCTGCCAAAGCCTTACAGATTAGGCATTAGAACCGATACTCTCACCTGTCTACTTCCACAAATAAGAATCTCATCTCCAGTTCTTAAGTCTATACTACATTTTATGACGTTTGCCTTTGCAAGTCCTAAAACTAAACATCTGTACCCTAAATGCTCTTATCTGTGCATGCGGTAACCTGAATTTAGGAAATTGAAAAAAGCACCCTTGTTCATTTCCTCCATAGCAGGATCACTGACTTCATTATTCTTATAATAAGTTTATCCTAATTTCTTAATGTTTATTTTTTCATCTACTAGAAAGAAGGAGACAAAAAGAATAGATATCCCATTTGCTAGTTCAGGGACTCAATCCAAGCCTCCCACAGAGGTAGTAGGGGCCCAAGCATTTGAGCCATCACCTGCTGCGTCCTAGGAGGAAGCTGTCATCCTGTGTTTTTCTGGACTTCACTCACTGAGGAATGGTGAATGTTAAGTCATTTTTCCAGGGCAAGCACACACACCACCTCCTTATACACACTCGATGCTTGCTTTAGGAAATTCCCATGTTGCTCCCCACAGAACAGACTGGCAAAGACCCAAGGAATACCTGAATCCGTTGATTCGGAGGAGCCCATTCTCTGCAGACTGCTGTTCTTCACCTCCAGTGGCTGCTCATACTCGCTGAAGACAAGAAAAATAATTGCACATGAGCGATTTCTAGGACAGCACTAAAAGGCCACATACAGGAAACAGGCCATGAGGTTAACAAGCAGCCAGTCTGGCATGAATTACCATCACTTCTAGGCCACACCACAGAGCCCTTCTTGCCACTGGGAACACCCAGTTAGCACCAAGCAAGGGAGGGAAGAGCGGGTGGCTTGGCCCCTGGCCACATTGCAAGACACGATGACTATGGCAAATGGGGAGCTATTTCCTGAAATGAGAGCATGTGTTCTAGGTACTGTGCTAGAGATAACTGAAGAATGGGACAGGAGTTCCTGCTTTTCAGGGCTTGGGAACCGTGAACGAGACGGCTCAGAATATGGTATACCAAGACTGAGGGGAAAGCAGCCTCGTCAGAAACAGTGTGGGACGCGTTTGTTCCTCCAAGGAGAAGCCTAGCGAGCTATGGAAAGCTGGATGAGACAGGAATTAGGAAAGCAGAGGGATCAACATGAGGAAAGTGCGCGGGCGAGGGACTAGGACGATGTTTTTGCACAAATACCCGGAAAGGAAATGCCACGTCCCTTTGTTGAGAAGAGAAAGCTCGCAGGAAACTAAGATTCTGTGAGCTGGTTCGGGAAGGGCTGGACTGAAGCGCCTGCGAGGGCCAGCCCTTCCCCCGTACGGGTGTATTCCGCAGAGCTTCCCGGGAAGCACAAAGCCAGTGCCGGGAATTCTCAAAGGGGCGACGAGGGTGGGGGGTCCCCGGCCACAGCCCGGGCCCAGCCCCGGCTGAGGGCAGCCCTGCAGGGTCGGAACTGCCTCTCCGCCCAACATTCTGCCCGGCGGGGGCAGGGTGCACATGGCGGGCCCCGGTCCGACAGCCCCCGAGCGGCGGGCGCGGACCCGCACGACCCGCCCGGCTCCCGGTCCGTTTCACGACCCGATCTTCCCGGCAGTGGGAAGGCCTGTGGGAGGCCAGCGGCCTCGGGCACCGCGCGTCCGCACCTCCTCACCTGCCCAGTCCCTGCAGCTGATCCATGGTGACCGTCAGGTTGGTGACAGGCGACAGTCCCCCGGCGGCTGGCGCGCCAAACAGCGTCTTCACGACGGGCTGCGGCGTGGGAGGGGGGCTGCAGGCGAAGAGCAGGCGGCGGCGGTGCGGGGGCTCCGGGCCCAGTTCCATGGCGGCGCCCGGACTCCCAAGGCTCCCGCTCCCTCTCTGTCCGCCGCGCCTGCCCCGCTCGGCCGACACCGGCTTCGGCCGCGTGCCCCGCCGCCGGCGCCCACGGGTCAAACACAAACACGACCCCGCGGGTTCAGGGACGCAGCCGCGAACAAGCGGAGCGGACGGGCGGTCGTCCGGACCGGGCAGGTGCCAGACACAAGCACGGGTGCTTCCCTCTCACCCCGCGAGGCGAGCCGGCGTGCGGACCGCAGCAACCTGAAGATCAAATCCAAACAAACTCGGAGGCCCGAGGAGCAGCAGGCAAGTTCCGCAAGGTAAGGTCACGCTCTTAGCTTTTTTCTCTTCCCCTTACCCAGGCCGGGATCGCAGAGAACCAGGCCGACCTCCAGACTGTCGCAGCCGAGGTGGCTTTCGCGGTAATAGCTGCTTACAGAGGGCCGGCGCTGCCCCGCCCCCCTTTCCTAGTTGGCGCCAAACAGAATCCACCAATCAGGAAGCAACTTCTCCGCCTCGCGTCCGAATGGCAGCCAGGATGGGCCAATGAGAAAGGAAGAAGGCCGCAGCTCGCGGGACTCTGCGAGGTCTTCCGCTCTCAGAAGGGGGCGGGGCCTGCAGCTGATAGGAGGGGCTCAAGATGAGAGGCGCCTCAGAGGTCAATGAAAACGCCCAGCAGAACCTTCGAGGTGCTGGTCGCGGCCGAAAGACGCCCCCTTGCCCTGGTGCATGCTGGGAAGTGTAGTTCCTTTCCAATCGCGAGCAGCGGTCCAGTGATTTCGTACCCCCGTTTGGCCACCGACACTTCACCCTCTAGCCTCGCGCCCCACACCCCGAGGGGACTTGGGGGCTAGAGAAAGCTATTCAGACCCAGCCCGGTCTCTACCTCTAACTGTACAATACTGTGGACCCCATTTTTTCCCATGCCGGCACTGCAGGCGGCGGCTTTACCCACTACACCACTGCGCCGGCCCCAATCCATGCTTTCTTGGAGACTTGCCTGAAGTGCCCTTCTCACCCCTCACCCACTTCACCCAGCTCACCTTCCTTTTCTCAAGAAAAGTTTGATATCCTGACTGAATCAGAGGGAATCCCTGTTATCATCCACCCCATCCCCCATTACCGGGAGGGGGGGACCGCGGGGGGCAACGCATGTTCACATTTGTTTCTATTATTGTTTAATCAGGTCAAAGTCTTCAGATTACTATTAACTCAAAAGGGTAAGAACCTTGACTTTTTTTTTTTTTCCTATCACCTAATGCCTGGTTCCGGGAAAGGCCCTAATATCTGTAGATTGAGTGAATCCGTGCTGGGAAGAAAACGTGAGTGCTTAAAGGGTCTTTAAGAAGGGAATCTGATTGGTGTGGTAGGTCAGGAAATGACCAGCAGGATGAAGCCTTAGAAGGTGCAGCCTAGGCTCTTCCGGGAGAGACAGGCCTTAAGCAAGAGCCTGGGGAAGAAGGGGGTCCCTGGTGTGCAGCAGTAAGTGGGTGAGGGGCAGTTGGGAGGCAGTCAGGGCCCAGGGTTCAGACTCTGCAGGGCTGGAAAAACACATTTTGGAATTCGGACTTTTTCTAAGGGCAAACAAGTAAAAGGTTTACATTTATATGTTAAAAAGATAAACGCAGCAGAGTGGAGAATGCAGTGGAGAGCAGCAAGGGCAGAGCTGGGGAAACCAGTTTGCAGGGGATCACAGCAGTCCTGTTGGGAAAGGGTGGGACTTGAACTGGGAGGGGATGATGTGGAGGGAGAGAGGTGGGTGGGGCTTGGCTTCCATTTGTCAGCGGTGAGGGAGCTGGGCCACAATGGTGTCCTTCTGTTTGGTGCCCCAGCAGGCTCCCCAGTTCTTTCCTGGCAACCACAGAAGCTTCACTTTATTTTGTTTAAAGAGGCAGAGAGATCCCATATGCATTTGCGGGTTCACTCCCCAAGCGCCCACAGTGTCGAGGGCTGCGCCAGGCTGAAGCTGCCAGCTGGGATCTCAATCATTGTCTCCCATATGGGTGGCAGGAACTCAGTTACTCGAGCCGTCACACCGCTGCCCAGGGTCTGCATTGGCAGGAACTTGCTGTTCTGAGCCGGAGCCAGGTATTGACCCCAGACACCCCAAACAGGACATGCATATCTCTTTCTTGTAAGCTATATTTATGTATGTATTTGAAAGGCAGAGAGTCAGATAAAAGGGGAGAGGGAGAGAGAGCTTCCATCTGATAGTTGACTCCCTAGATGCCCACAACAGCTGAAACTAGTCCAGGCCCAAGCCAGGAGCCCAGCTACCCTGGGCATCCTCTGCTGGCCCCTGCCGCCGGAACCCTCAGGCTGTTTAGGTTTCTCTGCTGTTATTGTTCACATGGTCAGTGATCCCTCCCCAAGGTAATCCTTTCCCCTGCTGAAGCTCTGAAAACTTTCTCTCCTCCTATTTGGTATAGTTTAGTATTCTCAATTAACTGTGACTGAAACGCACCCGGGGCTTAAGATAGAAATGCCATCACTCCTACCCTCAGGGAGCTCCCACCTGCCAAGCTTAATCTCGGCACAGGAATCATCTCCATGATAATGGCTGCCTTCAGAGGCCGGTGGTGAGGACTTGGAGGTGGGGTCTGAAGGGGAAGCTGAGGGAGAGGCAAGGGAGACTTTCCAAAGAGCTGGGAGGTGTGGTTCTCTGGATCAGGGGGATTTAGGGGTGAAGGAAGATGGGGTGCTCTCTTGATGGCAGGAGGGGAGAAGGAACTGCATGATCTGGGGACTACTGGGAAGTTGTTCCAGCCCAGTCCTGGAATGGGCACAGGGAGTGGCTGGGAGGGACCCAACTGGGAGGAAGGGGAGAGTTCTTGGACCTTGCTGAAGGATTTGGCCTCACTTTGTAGACAAAGGAAAGTATTGATAACAGAATCAGATTTGCTGCAGGGTGGATCTGTGGGGGGCAATTGGAGGGCTAAGCACCAAGGTGGAGGGTTGTCCCAAGAGTCTGAAAGCCAGAACCAAGGTGGATGTGATAGAGGACAGGAGTGACCTTGGGACTGGGAGCCATGAAGGAGGGAGACCTCACTGGGTTTTGATATCTGAGAGTTAAGATTAGAGGGGGGAAGGGATCAGAGGAGTCTAGAACAATTCCCAGGCAAAAACCCAACCACCTGGCTGTGTGGCAGCTGTTCAACAATAGGTGGCACAGTTCTTAGAGGATCTTTCTTTTTTTTTTTCATTTTTGATTGATATGCAATACTTGTACTTTTTAAAGATTTATTTGTACTTTTGAAAGAGTCACAGAGAGAAGGAGAGACAGAGAGAGAGAGGGAAAGAGATCTTCTATCCACTTGTTCACTCCCCAAATGGCCACAACAGTCAGGGCTGAACCAAGCCAAAGCCAGGAGCCAGGAGCTTAATCCAGATCTCCTATGTGGGTGCAGAGCCCCAAACACTTGGGCCAACTTCTGCTGCTCTCCCAGGCTCATTAGCAGGGAGCTGGATCAGAAGTGAAGCAGGGCCCGGCACTGTGGTGTAGGGGGTTAAGCTGCTGCTTGTGGCCCTGGCATCCCATATGGGCTCTCTCTATGTGACACTGACTTTCAAATAAATAAATAAATCTTAAAAAAAAAAAAAAAAAGTGGAGCAGCAGGAACTTGAAGTGGCAACCATACAGAATGCTGGCACCACAGATGTGGCTTAACCCACTGTGCCACATTGCCGGACCCTACTTGTCCATCTGTTATGAGGCTCAGTGCTATACTTCAATACATACAAACAGTGTAACCTGATTAAGTCGGGCATCCAACTGTTCCATGTCTTCCTCTGACTACCAGTTCTTTCCTTTTTTTTTTTTTTTTTTTAAAGATTTATTTATTTTACTTGAAAGTCACAGTTACACAGAGAGAAGAGGCAGAGAGAGAGTCTTCCATCCGCTGGTTCACTCCCCAGCTGGCCCCAATGGCCAGAGCTGCGCTGATCTGTAGCCAGGAGCCAGGAGCTATCTCCACGTCTCCCATGTGGGTGCAGGGGCCCCAGGACTTGGGCCACCCTCCACTGCCCCCAGGCTACAACCGAGAGCTGGACTGGAAATGGAGCAGCTGGGTCTTGAACCAGCACCCTGATGGGATGCTGGTGCTTCAGGCCAGGGCATTAACCTGCTGCATCACAATGCCAGCCCCTGTTGTGGTTTTTTTTTTTTTTTTTTTTTTAAGATTATTTGAAAGGCAGAGCCACAGAGAAAGAAACTTCCATCTGCTCATTCACTCCCCAATTGCCCACAACAGCTGGGGCTGGATCAGGCAGAAGCCAGGGCCTAGAACTCCATCTGAGTCACCCTCATGGGTGGCAGGGACCCAAGCACTTGGGCCATTTGCTGCTTCTCTCCCAGGTGCATTGGCAGAGAGCTGAATCAGAAGCTGAGTAGGCGAGACTTGAACCAGCATGGTGATAAGGGATGCTAGAGGCGCAAACAGTAGCTTATTCTGCTGCATCCTTACAGCCAGTTCTTTTTTATGTGAAAGATTTTATTTATGGAACCAGCACTGTGACTTAACAGGTAAGGCCACTGCCTGTAATGCCAGCATCCCATATGGGCGCTGGTTCGATTCCCAGCTGCTCCACTTCTGATCCAGCTCTCTGCTAATGCACCTGGGAAAGCAGTAGAAGATGGCCCAAGTGCTTAGGCCCCTATACCTGCATGGGAGACCCGGAATAAGTTCCTGGCTCTTGGCTTCAGATGGGCCCATTTCCGGCCATTGTGGCCATTTGGTGAGTGAACCAGCAGATGGAAGACCTTTCTCTCTGACTCTTCCTCTCTATAACTCTACCTCTCAAACAAATAATATATATATATATAATAAACGAAATGAAAAAATGATGCAGTCCGGACTCGAACCTGTGTTCCACAGCTTAACCTGTTGTGCCACAACCCCAGCCAGGAAAAAAAAAGGAAAAAAAAAAAGTGCTGATGTCCCACATCAGTGGGCCTGGGTTCTACTTTGAGCTCAGGCTCCTAACTCAAACTTCTGGCCAGTGTGGCCACTGGAGGCAGTGGACATGACCCTCGTGGAAGGATTGCATTCTGCCTCCCAGCTTCAGCGCAGCCTTGCCTTTGAGGGCATATGGGGAGTGAGCCAGTGGGTGGGAGTGCCCTCTCTCTTTGCCTCTGTAATAAATAACAAGGAAATTTTTAAGAGGGAAAAACAGCTTTTTTCAGTCTTGGACATTGGGAGCCCCGCAAGGGGCTTTGGGACGGGACCTCGGCCTGCATAATGTGAGTGCAGTTTATAGGAGTGTGTTTACTTTGGAATTTCCTGGCTGCTCCGTATGAATGGTACATTTCAGTGAAATGTTTTCATTATAAAAAAAAGAAAAGAAACCTTCCCTGGAGGCCACTTTCTCTGCCAGCTGTTCCCCTCCCCTTCCCAGGAAAACTCAGAAAACTCTCTTACTTTTCTCTTCATTTTCTCTTGAGCCCATGACACTCAGCCTCCCCATCTAGAAGCAGCTTTTGTCGGGTTCTCCAGGAACCCTCATTTGCCGCCTCCTGCGGCCATTTGCAGTCCCCTCTTGCTCCGCCCAGCCCGGCAGCTGCCTGCACTTGCCCACTCCCTTCTAAAAACACTTCCAGGGCCTCCTCTGCCAGCTTTTCCTCCTCTTGCCAGGTGCTCCTAAAACGGGTACTAAAAAGGTGCCGTTGGCCCCCAAGGTGTGGGATCCAGGAGTGGAGGGGGAGAACAGCCCTGGGCTTCCTGGAGAAGCAGGGAGCTCCCCTGGGGCCTTCCGGCCTCTTGTTTCCTGCAGCAGCCTGCAGCCTGGCTCAGAGCCACAGGAGAAGGATTTGTGAGAGAATGGAAACCAAGGCTATCAGTGTTATCCTGGAAGCCGCGGGGTGAGCGAGGGCCTCAGAGAGGTCTTCATTCTCCCCTGACCTGTGGCTGGGAGCGGTGAGGGCTTCTCTAGGGTCCCTCTTCTCTTCTGGAAGGCAGAGAACATTTTCTTCTGCTCTTCCCTTTCCCTCCGTTGGTGTAGCACCCAGGGAGGCCACCAGAGGGCACACTTTGGGAAAGGGTGGAAGAGATATCTCGGCAGAAAGGGGCTTGAGCTGAAAGCTGAGCACGTGTGTGAGAAACCCAGTGCACCCCGATTTCTAAGGCTCTGTTCCAGGACCATGGGTAGGTGGGACCTGCTCCGGGCTCGGACACGCACCCCTGTGTTAGTCTCAGTGGCCTTTTATCTTATGGGCTGCCTCTTTTTTTTTTTTTTTTAAGATTTATTTTAGGGGGCCTGCGTTGTGGTACAGCAGGTTAAACTGCTGCCTGCAGCACTGGCATCCCATATGGGTGCCGGCACAAGTCCCGGCTGCTCCACTTCCGATCCAGCTCCTTGCTAAAGGTCTGGGAAAGCAGCGGAAGATGGCCCAAGTCTTTGGGCCCCTGCACCCACATGGGAGACCTGGATGAAAGTCCTGGCTCCTGGTTTCTGCCTGGCTCACCCTTGGCCAATGTGGCCATTTTGGTAGTGAACCAGCAGATGGAAGAGCCCTCTCTGTCTCTCCTGCTTCTCTGTAACTTTCAAATAAATAAATAAATCTTTTTAAAAATTATTTATTTCAAAGGCGGAGTTACAGAGAGGGAAGGAGAGAGTCCATCCACTGCTTCACTCCCCAGATGGCCACCTGGAATTCCATCTGAGTCTCCCACATGGGTGTTAAAGGCCCAAGCACTTGGGCCATCCTCTGGAGCTTTCCCAGGTGCTGCTTAGCAGGGAGCTGGATCAGAAGCCGGGCCGCTGGACTCAAACCAGTACTCCTATGGGATGCTGGAGGCCCAGGCAGCCGCTTAACCCTCTGTGCTCCAACGCCAGCCCCTCGGTGGTCATGTCTTCACCACTCTGGGTCTCAGTGTCACCCCTCCAGAAAATGAGAGGGACACCTCACCCCTACCCCACCCCTCAAATCAGTCTGCCACACAGCAGCCTTTGCAAGAACTATCAACCTGTTTTGGAAGTTTGGAATAAAGTGTGCTGGAGAAATGTGAGGATCTCTGCTCCTCACTGTCGCCCAGCCTCCTCTTTTGCTAATGGAACAATAACACTACACTTATATATACCACTGCCAGCAAATATCCAGCGCTAGGCATTCTGGGATAGGTAATTTCCCAGCGGGCAGGGCTGATGAGGTCTGAAGTTGGCCAGAGGCAGTGGATAACAAATGGAGGCCACTGGGGCAATAGGGAGCCATAAGAGGTTCTGGGGCAGAGACTTCATGGCAAAAGGCTGCATTTTCTTGTGACGTTCCCTGGGCTCCTGACTCTGGAAGTCAGAGGCCTTGGGCCACAGCCAAGCCTTCCTTATAGCTGTACCTGGATGCTGTGCCCCTCGCAGAATATACTCAGGGGCAGGTATGGTGGGATGAATCACTATATTCTTAAAGTTGTACTTAGGAAATTTGTACTCATTAAATAAAAGATTTCTTTGGGAAAAAAAAATATTTCACTGCCCTGTCCCCGCCTTTCTCAATGGCTGGGTGGGGCCCTGGCAGGTGAAATGGTTCCTGGGCCCCTGCTGTCCTAGTTGAGTTAGAGCCTCTTGCACCATCCAGCTGATAACTGGTTGACCAAGGCCACATGATGCAAGGTGCTGGGAGGGGAGGATGTGCGGAAGGCGGGGGGCTGACAGTCATGGCTTCCAGGACCTGTCCCTTTCTGGCCCTGAGCAATGGCTGCCCAAGAAGGAGTTGGGGCTAGTCCTGTTCCAATCCTCTGAGCCTGAGATCCAGACTCTAAGGCATGCCCAAGCCTTCTGGAAAGTTTGCTTGCTCTCTGGAAAGGGGGACAAATCAGTGTTTTGAGGAAATAAGTGTTAATCAGAGTGAAACAGTGTCCTATCTGTAGCATTGCTCAGGGCCTTCAGTAATTTGTGGGAACCAGTGTGTGGCTCAGTGAGTTAAGCTACCATCTGCAACACCAGCATCCTATAGGAGTGCCAGTTCAAGTCCCAGCTGCTCTGCTTCTGATCCAGTTCCCTGCTAATGTGCCTGGGAGAGCAGTAGAAAATGGCTCAATTACTTGGGCCCCTGTTACCCTGGGAGATCCAGATGGAATTCCAGGCTCCTGGCTTAGCCTGGCCCAGCTTTGGCTGTTTCCAGCCATTTGGGAAGTGAACCAGTGGATGGAAGATCTCTTTCTTTCTCTCTCTCTTGCTGTGCCTTTCAAATAAATAATTTTTTTTAAGATAAGCACATAAAGAAAATTGTGTATTGTGAATCTCTAAGAAGCCAGGGAGGTTTTATAGATTTGTTTGAATGAGGAACCCTTTGCATAGAGAATTTTGTCTGAGTTTGATTCTCAATGCCAGCTTCCTGCTAAGGCAGACCCTGGGAAGCAGAGGTGATGGATGGCTCAAGTAATTGGGTTCCTGCCACCCATGGTTCCCTATTTCAGGTCCCATCCAACTCTGGCTGTTGCAAGCATTTCGGAGTGAATCAGCAGAGGGAGTTCTCTCTCTGTCTCTCATCCTCTGCAGTAAATGAACATTTCAAATGATAGAATTATTTATGATCTCTTGCATCTGGCTTCTCTCATAATCCAGCGTGTATGCGGTTCATGTGTGTCATATATGTGCATATGTCATGGCTCTTCATGGGTGAGCAGCATCCATTGCATGCATATACTACAATTTGACCTGTTGATGGACATTTTCTTTGTTCTTGGATTTTGACTACTGTGAATAAAGTTATAATGCATATTTAAAAAAAAGATTTATTTATTTTAAAGACAGGGTGACAGAAAAAGGAAGTGAGGACAGTGAAAGGAAAGATATTTTCCATCCACTACTTTACCCCCAAATGCCCTCAACAGCCAAGGCTAGGCCAGGCCAAAGCCGGGAACCAGGAGCCAGGAACTCCATCCAGACTCCTAACTGTGTGGCAGGAAGCCAGGTACTTGGAACATTATCTGCTGCCTCCCAAGCTCAGTAGCAGGAAGCTGGAAAGAAAGTGCAGCATTGCCATGACTTGAACCAACATGGGTGTTCCAAGCAGTGGCTTAACCTGCTGTACCACAGTGCTGGCCCCACTATGCACATTCTTGTACACATTTGTGTGTATGTGCGTGTGTGGAGGTAGCCTTTCATTTCTTGACACTAAACACCTAGGAATGTAATTTATTTTTCCCCTAATATTTATTTATTTGGTTTTTTTTTTGTTTATTTATTTATTTTTGACAGGCAGAGTGGACAGTGAGAGAGACAGACAGACAGAGAGAAAGGTCTTCCTTTGCCGTTGGTTCACCCTCCAATGGCCGCCGCGGCCGGTGTGCTGCAGCTGGTGCACCGCGCTGATCCGAAGGCAGGAGCCAGGTGCTTCTCCTGGTCTCCCATGGGGTGCAGGGCCCAAGCACTTGGGCCATCCTCCACTGCACTCCCTGGCCACAGCAGAGAGCAGGCCTGGAAGAGGGGCAACCAGGAAAGAATCCGGTGCCCTGATCAGGACTAGAACCTGGTGTGCCGGTGCCGCAAGGCGGAGGATTAGCCTACTGAACCGCGGCGCCGGCCTTCCCCTAATATTTATTTATTTGAAAGAGCAACAGAGAGAGAGAGAGAGAGAGAGAGAGAGAGAGAGTTTTCATCTGCTGCTTTACTCCTCGCTGCAATGGCTGGGGCAGGGCCTCCATCCAGGTCTCTAGCATGAGTGGCAGTGTCCCTCAGGGAGTAACCATGCCTCCTCCAGTCCTCTGTGCAGCTGTCTCCAGGAAAGGGGTGTCCTCTGGCTGGGCGCCTCAACAGTTGCTCCCAGAGATCGGTCTGGCCAGAGTCAAGTGAGGCCTGGTTTTGTTGCACTTCAGTGAGCTGGTCTCATTGGTTACCCCATAGTGATTCCCATGGGTCACTTTGACAAGCTCTTCTGATTGTCCTTGAGCCTCTTCAGGGCTGGGTTACCTGGGCTGAGAACTGACAAGAGCTCTGAGTTAAGATTCTGAGTGGCTGCTCTGAGCACAGGGGAACTGTGGCTGGCTTCTGGCAGGACGCACCAGGTGTGGGGCTAGTGGGGATTTTGGCCAACCCAGACAACAAGAGCCAAAGGCAGCAGAAGTGCTCTCTCTCTCTCTTTTTTTTTTTTTTTTTGACAGGCAGAGTAGACAGTGACAGAGAGACAGACAGAGAGAAAGGTCTTCCTTTTGCCGTTGGTTCACCCTCCAATGGCCGCTGCGGCCGGCGCATTGCGTGCTGATCCAAAGCCAGGAGCCAGGTGCTTCTCCTGGTCTCCCATGGGGTGCAGGGCCCAAGGACTTGGGCCATCCTCCACTGCACTCCCTGGCCATAGCAGAGAGCTAGCCTGGAAGAGGGACAACCAGGACAGAATCTGGCGCCCTGACCGGGACTAGAACCAGGTGTGCCGGCGCCGCAAGGCAGAGGATTAGCCTAGTGAGCCATGGTGCCGGCCCAGAAGTGCTCTCTTGACCCACACCTACCTCCAGAGAGGGGGTGGCTCTTCTGCAGATTGATCCCCTTTTCTCTGTCCTGAGAACTTGTTCCTGGGCTTCCAGGAGCCTGTCCTCCCCCCACTGCACCCCACCTGCCTGCTGCCCTCCAGAGGGCATTGAGCATTTCCTGCTGGTGAAAGAATGCCTGTGGATTGGACACGATAGCCCCTTACACATGCTGAGAACTCCAGTGAAGGCCCCGCTGCAGGCAGCTGTCAGGGTGTAGGTCCAGGGATGCAGTGGCCATCTGGTCTGTCAGCCTTCTGAGACTGGAGCTGCTGGGGCTGGGGTCCCCAGAGCCCACCTGCAACCCAGATCTGAGCTATGATGAAGTCCTGGCGTTGGCCCTCACTATTGTCAACAAAGGGTCCTCTAAGAACTTGCAGCTCCTCTCAGCAGGATGTAGCTAAGCAGGTGAATTGGGCTGGGTGGGAGGTAGTGAAAGAGAGCCAGGGAAGCTGTGTGGGGTGGGTGTGTAAGGACAATGGGAGGACAGCAAGGGCCCTTCCTGAGTGGGGCACCCAAAGGCTGGAGGCCACTGGTGTTGTCCCCAGCAAGCCCACAGTGGGGCCTTGGATCAGGCCAAGGAAATCACAGAGAAGCCAGGCCTGGGGAGCAGCAGGGAGCAAGGTGTTCGTTTCAACTGATGGCTCCCTAGGTGGGGGTGGGGGTGGCAGAAACAAGGAAGGTGTCATGGGTACTCCCAGATTCTTTGCAGGTTTACAAGGGAGTTATTAGAAGATGTGGATGGACTCTTCCTGCCCGGGGCACAGCGCTGCTGGTCCAGCCCAGGTGTGCCCAGTGGTGTCAAGGGCGGCCTTCTACATGTATGACTCCTTGTTAGGATAACAGCACCAAGCAGCACATGTGTGATGATGCAGCACAGCCAAGTGAAGAACTCTGGTACTCTGAATTTTCCCTGGGGGTGCCCTTGGTGACCAGGTACGGAGACATGGTGCTGGGTTGGGGCGAGAGCTTCCACCTGCCTATGCTTGGGAATGAGTGCAGGTGTGTACACGTGTGTGTGTGTGTGACGTGTCTGTGGTGGGGAGTGTGTGTGTGTGTGTGTCCTTCTGTGACTCCTCTGTGGTCCTGCTGGGGAGACAGTGGGGCCCTTCCAAATTTGACCCTGAGCAAATCCCTGTGGTCCCTGTAGTTGGTGAAGAGCTGTTTGGTGCCTGTCTCTGCTGCGCAAAAAGTCTCTACCTTGAGGGTCACCTCCACTAGGGAAAGATTTCCGATGGGAAAGGAGGGAGAGATATTTTCTCCAGCCTTGTCTCAATGAACTTGAAAACAGCCCTCAGAGCAGCTCTGGGGCCCTTCCCATCACTAAGGCAAAACCCAGAGTTCTTTGTGTTGCCTGGATAATGACTTTGAGTGAATAACTAGGGCCATAGAGTCCTGCACCCATGACTGCCCATGGACATCTTGCTCAGGGACTCCAGCCACCTGCACCAGGTCACAATGTGTGCGTGGAGTTCCTATGCCATCCCCCCCTCCCCCGCTCCGCCCCGGCCAGTCTCAGAGCACTCCTGTGAAGAGGTGATGGCAGGAGCCACCCACTGTTCCCACCGTGGCAGAGGGGAGACTGAGGCCAGAGCCACAGGGAATGTCTAAGTGGTTCAGATCTCTTCCAGCAGAGCATGCTCTGGCTGCACCTGTCTCCTTGCTCTGGGCGCTGTCCCTCTCATCAGCACCAGAGCCCCGTCCTGACCTGCTTCCTCTCTAACCTCTGTCCCATTTTCCCTTCCATAGCCCATTTGGCCGAGAGATGGAGATTCAGCTTTGGTGAACATTTTAAAAATCAAGGGACTGAACTGGAGGTGGCTGGCTAGGGTCAGGGGCTGCTAGCTTTTCCTCACATGACTCCTGTCCACAGAAGCTGGCAGAGGGGTGCACTGTCCCTGCCAGCCTGTCCCCTGGGGCAGGCCTGAGAGGTGCTGCTGTCCATGGATGTTCAGTACCCTCATGACTTTGGCATGGCCCCAAGGTCCCGAGGCTGGCCAGCTTGCTCCCTGCCTACACAGGCTGCATTCTTCACACTGACCGAGTGGCTGCTCACAGAACCTGCTGTGACCTCACTGTGGTGCCTTGGCTCACACTGTCCTCATCTGCCGTGCTTCCACCCACGCAGTAGTCCCCCCTGCCTCGTGCACCTTGCGCGTGGCCTTCCTGGATCCCAGGCAGGGCTGCTTTCTCTGGTCTTCCAAGCCCCAGCGACAGCCTTGTCTGCCTAATAGAGACGATGTGTCCTTGTCCATCTCCCTGCTGAATGGTGAGCTCCCTGGGGTGGAGACCACCTGAATCACCTTTGTGCCCACCACAACACACATGACCCAGTGCAAGCACATGAGGCTGTGTGTGTTGCCTTGGAGGAGAGGGTCAAAGACCTGCTTCTATTTGCGTTACATACCTTTTCTTGTTATTTGGACTTCTCACTAGGCTTCCAGTGTATCTTTTTTATAAGATTTATTTATTTATTTACTTATTTGAAAGGCAGTTACAGAGAGGCAGATGCAGAGAGAGAGAGAGAGAGAGAGAGAGATCAATCTTAGTCTGCTGGTTCACTCCCCAAATGTCCACAACAGCTGGAGCTAGGTCTGTCTGAAACCAGGAGCCAGGCACACTAGTGGGGAGCTGGATTGGAAGTGAAGCAGTTGGGACTCAAACCGGCACCTGTAAGGGATGCTGGCATTACAGCTGGTAGCTTAACCCATTACCCCATAATGCTCGCCCCTTGCATTCTTTTTTTTTTTTTTTTACAGACAGAGTTAGAGAGAGAAAGACAGAGAGAGAGTTATAGACAGTGAGAGAGAGACAGAGAGAAAGGTCTTCCTTCCATTGGTTCACTCCCCTAATGGCTGCCACGGCCGGTGCTGCGCCGATCCGAAGCCAGGAGCTGGGTGCTTCCTCCCGGTCTCCCATGAGGGTGCAGGGACCCAAGCACTTGGGCCATCCTCCACTGCTTTCCCAGGACACAGTAGAGAGCTGGACCTGAAGAGGAACAACCGGGACTAGTACCTGGTACCCCAACCGGGACTAGAACCCGGGGTGCCAGCGCCACAGGCGGAGGATTAGCCAAGTGAGCCACGGCGCTGGCCCTTGCGTTCTTAATATATTCTTAGGAACATGCTTTTGGTAGCAACACTTCTCAGTTATATTGAAGAGGTTGAATGCTTTATCTGGAAAGTGAATTCTTAAATGTTTGTCTTTTTAATATATACAGTGAACATATTCATATTTGCTACACCATAAAAAATTAACTCCTTACAAATGAAAATACTAATTTATTTTATTTCTCTTAAATATCATTGGGTCATTTTTCTGTTGTAACTCCATTAAGTATTTTAGGAACAGTGGTTTATTTTTTCAAACTAATTCATGGAATCAAACAAATGTACCAAAAAAATTCCTTTAAACATTTTGTAAAACTTACAGTTATGCACATTACATGAGGTGGTGTGAACCCTGTGCAGATTTATGTGCAGTTTAACTAGCTCTGCGTTTATTTATCTTTACAATGGATTTGAGCAAACATGGAAATGGAAGCTGCGATGATGCCCACTGAAAGCTGGAGAGCCAAGAAAGGGGATGTTGGGGACACAGGGAAGTTGGGGGTCCCTGGAGACCTGGCACCTCTGATGCCCTCTGGCCTTGTGACTTCACTCAATCCCACCATCCACACAGTCACAGAATATGTGTTTTGGGCACATCAGTAAATTTGTTCAGTTATGTGAGTGGGTCATTTAGAAAGCTGATGCTTGACTATTGGCTTGGCAGATTTTTTGGTGCAGTTGTTTTTCTCCAGGTGCCCCTCGCTGGGCAGTGCCCTCGCTGGGCCTTGTTCCATTCTGGGCTCCTTGTGGCGTTCCAGAGCCCTCCCTTCTGTACTCTCCCGACCCACGCACCTCCCATAGCCTGCCCGAGCTCAGGAGAAACCCCAGTTTCTCTGGTGAGGAACCCCGGCCTGGTGGGGACCACTCTCTCCTCCCTTTTGTCACTGCTTCCGGTGTTCTCCCTCCCCTCCTGTCTCCCTGTGCAGCCCTGCTGGCCACAAGCACTTGCTCAGCTGTTCCTCTGGCCTTGGAGCTCTCCCTTCTGTATTAGGTTCCCTCTCAGATTTCTCACCTGATGCTATGGCCTCTGATGCCATCCTTTATGACATCTCAGAATGGAGTTGCTGCCACAGCTGCACTGGCACCTGAGGGCTACGTATCCAAATGGTCCACCCTGGGAGATTCTAATCCCAGGTCTACCTGTGTGATGTCACCTGGCCCTTGGATTCTTACTCTGGTGATGATAAAAAACATGGATGCAGGATGGGGCCCTGGGACATGGAGGAAAGCCTGGGAGAAGCTCATCCCTGTCCTGGCCTCCTGGGCAGTTCTGCAACTGGGAAATACAAGGAAGGAGCGCAGCGACCAGGTTCTGAGCTGTGAGTTTATTGGGCTGGGCCAGAGCTGGTCTGGGAAGGGGACAGCAGGAGGTAGATGGGCAGCAGATCTGGCTCCAGGTACACAGACCCGTCTCAGGAAGTCTTCATAGCATGCTTTCTCTTTGACTTGTTTTTTTTAAACAGCCATCTGAAATGCTTCTTCAAGAATTTTCTTAAGCCTCTTCGGGCTCGCCAGTGCTGGGAGGGGGAATCAGAGGGTTGGCATTATACAGGGCTGGGGCTGGGTAGCTGAGAAGGTAGGGTGTCCCCATTCAAGGTCAAGGCCTAGTATCCTCTCTGCCCCCAGGGAAGAGACATATGTGGAGGGTCCAGAGGAGACTGGCAGTGATGAGATGCCCCAGGCTGGCCACGGAGGCCCAGGAGATTTCTCTGCTCCATGCCTGGCTCATTGTATGAACCTGGCCATATTGTTCGGCCTCTCTGAGCTTTGCTTCCCCTGACGCTCCACAGTAGAGCGACTGCAGCAGGGGCTTGGATGCTTCTATGGTCCTAAGGCATTGGTTCTCAGACTTCACTGTGCATCGCAATCACTTGCAGGGCTCAGTAAAATGCAGGTGGCTGGGCCCCACCCTGAGAATTTCTCATTCAACCGATCCAGGGTGAGGTCTAAGAATTTCCATTTTTCAGTTCCCAGGGGATGCCGATGCTGCTGCTCTGGGGTCCACCCTCCAGAACCACTGTGCCAAAGCAACAGCTCACTGGGTAGTTGGCAGGGAACTTCTCGTTAGGTCTTGGTTTTCTTGGCTGTAAAGGTGGCTGTGTGTGCATCGGTGTGTGTCTGCAGGTGAGTCCGTGGGGGACATTTGTATGCACACTCTGACTTGTGAGTGGTATGACCCACTTGGCACTTAGAGGAAACCATCTGCGGCTTCCAGCCCAAGTTCTCAGTCCTGACCCCGTGCCAGACCAAATCAGACTACGGGGTTGTGACCTGGGCTTACAAATCCTTCCTAGGTGATTCCAATGGACCAGCAAGGATGGGAACCCTCTGCCCTGGGGAGAACAGAGCTCAAGGCCCAGGTCACCAGGAAGAGCAGTGGCTCAGCAAGGACTCATGCTTTCCTAGTCTGTGTTTTCAGACTCTCAGCAGACTGCTCAGGGCTGGGAGCAGCAAGAAGCCCCTGAGGGGACTTTATTCTGACTTCTGGACCCTGTCCCTCTGCCCTCTGCTGCTTCTCTGGAAGCTGCTCACCTCTCCAGACTTCTGAGATTGACAGCTGACCATCACACGGAGGCCCTCATCAACAGGCTTGGCATGCCCCCAGCATGTCTTCTCTTTCTGTAGGGGAGAAGAACAAGGTCACACGATGGCCACTGACTCAGGAGGCCCCAGAGAGGCATAGAACCAGGAAACACCAAAGTCCTGGTGCAGGTGTAGCCAAAGAAGGGAAGCAGCCATTCACCCTCCATGCAGAGCTGGACCTTACCCCATTGTCCTTGAAGGGACACTGCTCAAGGCTGAGGTTCTTCTTTCTGCACTCTGTCTCTCTGATGGTGAAGATCACTAACTGTGGATCTGAAAACGTTGGGTCCTGTCGAGCATAGGAGACAATAGGAATGCCAGCCGTGTTTCTGATGGAAACCCAGAGAACACCCAGGCCATCCCACGGCACACGGGGAAGTCAGAGCCTGGATAGATCCCTGCCACCATCCACCAACTTTCAACTGAGGTCCAGCTAAAGCAGATTGGCAATGACCACAGCACCAAGAATGACAGAGCAGGACCTTGAAGCTTGCATCCCTGTGTCTGGGGCCATTCCTGTTTGCCGTATCACCTATCACGCCTGCTGGAAAAATTTTCAGAAAACTGCAAAGCACTGCTCAGCGAAATGGTTGCTGCAATCAAGTGAGATGGAGAAACTGAGGCACAGAGAGGTAAAGGGCCTTCCTAAACACCTCAATGTATCAGGGCAGCAGAGCCCTTAGCCCAGCCCTCCATCTAGAACGTCCTGGCCAGCATGGGACACACCAGCCCCTGCTCCTTCTCACCCAGTCTGGCCGGGGGTGAGCGTCCAGAACACGGAAGGCATACTCCTCATTCGACTGGTTGTTTAAGTCATTGACGATGATGTTCAGAGTCTCAGACTGACTCAGGGTGGTGTCCTTGGTCCAGGTTTTAGATTCAGCGCAAGCCAGACCCAGGAGCAGCAGCAGCAGCCCTGCCGTTGTGACCCCTTGCATCTTGCCAGGCTGTGGTCTGCCAGGTACAGTCTCTGCTTGGCTTTATGCCTGCCTGGGGTGGGGTAGGGCAGCCTCTGGCCAGCTGGCCTCCTTCCCCAAGGCTGTGCCTGGGAACTGCCAGCCTGCCCAAGGGGTGGCAAGGATTACTTAGCTTCCCCACTCTCCCTCCAGCTCCTGGGGCCACAGGAAGTGGTAAGTGAGGATGAGGGGCCTGAGCCTCAGCACAGGGTCCTGACCACCCACCCTGACCAGGTCTGCACCCACTCACAGCAGCTCCCTCCCGTCTGCCTTCCCAGATTGCTGCAGAGAGCAGCCGTGCAGTGCTGCAAGTCCGCTTGTCCCCTGTGAAAGGTGGGCATGGTGGGCAGGTGCAGGGCACTGGGCCCGAGTCCTGGTTCTACTGGTGTCTGAGTGGGAGCCCTCACTGCAGCGGCATTTTCCTCACCAGCTGGCCCACTCAGAGGGCCGCAGGTGGGGGACACAGCAGACTGGGGTCCAGTTTCCCTTCCCCAGGGGTCTAATGGGCAGGAGGGAAGGCTGGGAGGAGCAAAGGAGAAGGGGCCGTGCAGGATCAGCCCTCATTGCCTGAGTCTGTTGGGGTACAGGGTGTCTGAGGATGTCCCACAGAGTATGGGGTGCTGCTGGCTAGATGGAGTGCTGAGGGATTTTTCCTGAGAGACCTCCACTCAGGCTGTGGGGAACAGAGTGCAGGGGCAGTGTAAGGCATCCCCTACACCTTGGGAGCTGCAGTCTAGGACCTGGCAGAGGACTCTCCAGGGGGCCCAGAGGAGCAGAGGCGACAAGATAGGGCCTGCAAGGATGGGGAAGAGCACTCCAGGCAGCCATTCCAGCAAGTGCAAAGGCCTGGTGGCGACAAAGCACAGGCAGAGTTTCAGGATTCTCAGCTCCCCAGAGACCATGTGCACTGCTGGGTTTTGTTACAAAGTTTTTAAAATTGTGGCGTAATACTCAAAATAGGAAATTGATTGTCTTAATCATTTTTAAATGATTGAGTAATCATTTAAGTAATGATTAAGTAATGATTTTCTACTCTGATCATCTCCCTTGAGGAGAGGCTGGCCAGGGTCTGTGTGTACACCTCAGGGCCCCAGGGAGGGACTGGATGAATTCCCTCTGGGCCAGGAGCAGTTGGAGGCAATTCTTGGGGGAGGTGGGACTTGGTCTGACTTTGACACAGACTAGGTTCAGATAAGTTGGAGGAGGAATCCAGGTGTCTCAGGAGGGACAGAGAGAAGCCTGGGCAGGGCTTGGACGCAGAAGCCAGTGTGATGTATTTGGAAGTTTAAGGTGTTTATTTGCAGGTGGGGAAACACAGGAAATGAGGAAGGTGGAGAGGTTGGCTGATGAAGGATAATGAATGCTTGGATAGAAGGCTAAATTTTTTTTTCCCCAAAGAAACCTTTTATTTAAGGAATATGAACCGCATGCATTTCATAAGCGCAACATTAGGACTATAGTGATTCTTCCCAAGATACTCGCCCTCCCACCCACACTCCCACCCTTCCTCCTCCTCCCTCTCCCATTCCCGGTCCCATTCTCCATTGAGATCAATTTTCAATTGACTTTATACACAGATCACCAACTGTATACTAAGTAAAGAGTTCAACAAGTTTGCACGAAAAAAAAAAAAAAAGACCTGTTTCTCAACAGTCAAGACAAGGGCTGTTCAAAGTCATTGCAACTTAAAGTTAATTCCACTTCTTTTTTTTTTTTTTTTAGAAACTTAATTAACTTTAAAGAAGCACCCAAGAATACATCTTCTTTGAGCCCTTAGACATAACTAGAACTTATGAGGCTTAAGGATATCTTCCACTTGATACATTAAAAGAAAGTAAGTCCTTGAGAATGAGTTTTATCATCAATTCAGGAAGCACCTGAAAAAACAAGCAATGGAGTTGAACATGTAGACATAACAAAAACTTATGAGACATAAGAATATCCTCCACTTAATATACTAAAATAAAACAAATCTTTGAGAACAAGTTTTACTGTTAACTCATAGTACAACTCTTTGAGGACAGAGGTCCTGCATGGGAAGTTAGTGCACAGTGACTCCTGTTGTTACTTTAATAATTAACACTCTTATGTATGATGTCAGTGATCACCAAGGCTCTTGACATGAGCTACATAGGCTATGGAAGCCTTTTGAATCCACAAACTCCGTCAGTATTTAGACAAGGCCATAAGAAAAGTGGAAGTTCTCTCCTCCCTTCAGAGAAAAATACTTTCTTTGATGACCACTTCTTTCCACCAGGGTCTCACCCATGTAGGTCTTTCATGTAGGAATTTTTTGCCACAGTGTCTTAGCTTCCCATGCCTGAAATGCTCTCATGGGGTTTTTAGCTAGACCAGAATGCCAGAAGGGCTGATTCTGAGGTCAGAGTGCTACTTAAAGCGAATGTCATTCTATGAGTCTGCTGTATGGACTGCTTCCCATGTTGGAGCACTCATTCCTTTTTAATTCTATCTATTATTATTACCAGACACTTAATCCTATTTATATGATCACTTTAACATTTAATTCTTTCTATATGACCACTGTGATGTTTAATCCTATTCATACAATCACTTTAACACTTAAAATGGTACGTTTACCACCCAGCTTAAGAGAATTTAGTGTCCCATGGCAAGTTTTCAAACTGTATCCTTAGAAGTAAGTCCATGGAATGTATGCAGAACTATACAGCTTTAAAGTTACAAACTTCATATGCTTCATAATTGTAACTTTAGAAAAATGGTGATTCTTCCCACCATGCCCACCCTTCTACCCACACTCCCACCCTTCTTCCTCCTCCCTCTCACCCTTATTTTTTACTAAGTTCTACTTTCAATTAACTTTATACACACATGATTAATTCTATGTTAAGTAAAGAGTTTAATAGATAGTATAAAAAGACAGCTTTTCTTCAATAGTCAAAAGAAGGGCTGTTAAGTCATCGCTTCTCAAAGTGTCAAATTTCACTTCTACAGATTGCCTTTTAGGTACTCTATTAGTTATCACAGGTCAGGGAGAACATACAGTATTTTTCCTTTTGGGACTGGCTTATTTCACTAAGTATGATGTTTTCCAGATTCATCCATTTTGTTGCAAATGACTAGATTTCATTTTTTATTGCTGTGTAGTATTCCATGGTGTACATATTCCACCTTTTTTTTTTTTTTTAAATTCAGTCTTCATTTGACAAGCATTTGGGTTGCTTCCATGTCTTAGCTATTGTGAATTGAGCTGCAATACACATGGGGGTACAGATAACTCTTTCATATGGTGATTTCATTTCCCTTGCGTAAATTCCCAGGAATGTGAGGGCTGGGTCATATGGTAGGCCTGTATTCAGATTTCTGAGGTATCTTCACACTGTCTTCCATAATGGCTTTACCAATTTACATTCCCAACAACAGTGGATTAGGGTACATTTTTCCCCACATCCTCGCCAGCATTTGTTTTTTGTTGATTTCTGTATGAAAGCCATTCTAATGGAGATGAGGTGAAACCTCATTGTGGTTTTGATTTGCATTTCCCTAATGGCCTAGTGATCCTGAGCATTTTTTCATATGTTTGTTGGCCATTTGGATTTCTTCTTTTGAAAAATATCTGTTTAAGTCCTTTGCCCATTTCTTAAGTGGGTTGTTTGTTTTGTTGTTGAGTTTCTTGATTAAATGTTTAAAGATTCATTTATTTATTTGAAAGGTAGAGTTACAGAGAGAGAGAGAGAGAAGGAGAGACAGAGATCTTCCATGCACTAGTTCACCCCACAAATGATTGCAATGGCCAGGGCTATGCCAGGGTGATGCCAGGAGCCAGGGGCTTCTTCCGGGTCTACGACATAGGTGCAGGGGCCCAGGGACTTTGACCATCTTCCACTGCTTTCCCAGTTGCATTAGCAGTGGAGCAGCAGGGACTGAAAACAGCACCTATATGGGATGCCAGCACTGCAAGCGGTGGCTTAACCTTCTGCACCATAGCCCCAGCCCCTAGAAGACTAAAATTTTTAAATATATATTTATTTTCATTTTATTCAAAAGGCAGAGAGACAGCCAGCGAGGAATCTTCTATCTGCTGGTTCACTCTCCAAATGCCTGCAACACTCAGGGCTGGGCCAGGGAAAAACCAGGAGTCTCCAACCCGGTCCAGGTCCCTCACATATGTGTCAGGGATCCAAGTAGTTGAGCCATCATCTGCTGCTGCCTCCCAGGGTGAGCATTTACAGGACGCTGGAATGAAGATCTCTCTCTCTCTCTGCCTCTCTGTAACTCTGCCTTTCGAATAAATAAATAAATCTTAAAAAAAAAAAAGACACTCTAATATGGGATACAGGCATTCCAAGTAGTTGTTTAACCTGCTATGCCACAACACTTGCCCCCCCAATAGTAGATTTTAATTCATCTTTATTACTCAAAAAAAGAAGTGCCTACCTCCTCCCCTTAACAGTCACCCCCTCTGTTCCCCCAGGACCTACTCCCACCCCTAGGTAACCCCTAATCTACTTTCTGTCTCCATGGATTTGTCTATTCTAGACATGTAATATAAATAGAATAATATACTAGGTGGTCCTTTGTGGCTGGCTTCCTCCATGTTTCATAACATTTTATTTTTCTTTTTTGAGATTTATTTATTTATTTGAAAGGCAGAGTTACAGAGATAGGTCTTGCATCTGCTGGTCACTTCCCAAATGGCTGAAACAGTCAAAGCTGGGCCAATTGGAAACCAAGAGCCAGGAACTTCTGGGTCTCCCTTGCGGGCACATGGGCCCAAGCACTTGGGCCATCTTCTTACTGCTTTCCCAGGCCATAGCAGAGAGCAGGATCAGAAGTGGAGTAGCCGGGTCTCGAACTGGCGCCCATATGGGATGCCAGCACTGCAGGCAATGGCCTTACCTACTATGCCACAGCACTGGCCCCCTGGCTGCCTCTTGGGGAGATGCCTCTCCAAGGCCCGTTCTGCTCAGAGCTCAGGGCCCAGAGCTGGGCAGTGTCACGGGACAGAAAGCTCTACCCCTCCTGCATAACCCAGTTTCAGGGTTCCTGTGTGTGTGTTTCTGTGTTTGTTTGGAGCTGATCCTGATGTAGATGTCAGATCTGCTTGCATCTCAGCCTTTTCTCAGTGGCTCTAATTCAGCCCCACTTGGCAAAACCAAAGCCCTGTGTTTAGGAGACAACACCCCTCCCTGCCACCAGCTGCCAAACACAGGCTTTCTTGGGGGCTCTCACCTCCTTCTGAGCTCAGATCAAACCAGCCTGTGTTAAGGGAAGGGAAATGGGTGTCCTGATCTTGGCACGCTGTTTTGGCTGCAGCCTCTGGGTGGTGTCTGTTCCAGAGGTTCTGTGTTGGCCAAATCCTTAACTTACCGCCTTAGCCTGTTTTCACCCGTGCAGCCCCAGAGGCGCACAGACCCTGGAAAAGCCAACTGCTGAGGTTACACACTCCATGAATGGCAATAGCAATGGCTGGACAGTTGCCCAAAACTCATCCGGAGACCTTGGTTCAGGTCTCTTTTCTTTCAGGGCCTCAGGCTGCATCCAGAAACAAGGGACTAAAATGTGGAGGAGGCGGTTGCTGAGACCCTCTGTGCCATCGTCACGCAGAGCAGGGAATTCCTGCTGCACTTTCCTGGCTCAGAATAGCACCCAGAGGGACCTGTCTCGTGGGCCCTGACCTACTCAGAGCCACCGCTATGGGCTGCTGACCTCCCCTACGAGGCAAGGGGAAGATCTTCATGGTCGTTCTGGGAAACACTGGTTGGCGGAAGTGACCATGGGTGTGAGACGTGGACAACAGATCCCCACGAGGCATGACTGGTGGGCTCCCAGAAACTTCACCCTCTTCTGCAGCCAGAGGGATGCTCCTATAGTAAGCCCCACTGGAAGGGCCTGCGTGTACCCTCCTGATGCCGACGGGGGCCAGTAGAGACAAGCAAGGCACCTGAGGCCTCCTCCGGCCAGCTCCCTGCCAGTGGAGCTTTGACTGTTAAGCCCTTGAAATGGGGCTAAAGGGATGGAGGAACTGATTTTTAATTTTATTTCATCTTAATTTCAATTGAAATTTAAATCGCCACCTGTGCCTCTGACCACAGTATTAGCCAACACAGGTAACTTGTTGCATGAGAGTGGCAAGGAGTGAGGTCTGTGGAGCAGGAAACCGCGAGAGGGAAGCTGATTAGGGCTGGGGCTGGGGCCAGGGAGGAGCCGCAGGAGGAAGGACAGAGTCCAGTGGTGTGGTTCTGGGTCACTAAACAGAAGGAGAGTGGCAGGCAGCCTGGCACATGGTTCCTGGCCACCAGACGGCACCGAAGTGTCGGAGTTGCTCAAGATTTATGGGCGGCTGACAAAGGCTGGGAACAGCGGAGGACTCAGGGCAAAGTCCTCGGGCGAGAAGGTTGAGGCCTTATCTTTCTCACAGGTGGCAAGCATTGGGTTGGGAAACCTGGATTATGCAATGGGCTCCTGGCCCTAGGGGATGTTCCTGGATCAGGAGAGACAAGCTGTGGTTTAAACTGCACCCCTCCACCAGCAGAAGATGGGGCTCCTGGGAGTCGGAGCCTCTGGGCAGTATCTAGATCTGTCTCTGCAGCTGGACAGAGACTCCACCTCCCTGGCTACCTGCCCAGGCCCCGTTCAGAAGTCACTCCAGGGAACAAGGGCATAGTCTGCAGAAATTATCCATTAACACCTTGTGCTGGGTGGTTTTGCTTGACAGATGATTCCCGAACCTGGCTCTGGACCTGCTAGCAGCTGCCCTCACCGACCTGGACCCTTCTGAGGGCTGAGCCCAGTGCCAGTCCTGAGAGGGGGCTGAAGAGGAAGAGGGGGTCCTGTTCCCTAGGGAGCTTGTGGGCAGAGGAGGCTGCAGGGGCTTGGCCTCGGGAGCTCTTGTCTGTGACAGACAAGATCATCACGTTCAGGGAGCCCTTGGCCTGGGGAGCCTGGGTATCCCAGTCTGATAGGGCAGCCCAGGCTACTGGGACTCCTGAGGAGACGGTGGTCCCACCTGGGAACAGACTAAAGGGGAGAGGGTTGGTGAGCTGTCTCCCAGCTGGGTGTCAGTGGGGAGTGTTGCAGAGGATGCAAACTGGGGGGCACAGGGGGCGGACTTCCTGGAGAGGCTGACTCTGAGTAGCAATGTGTCGGGAGCGGAGCCTGGGCCTGGGGGTGGTGGTGTTGGCAAGGAGGGGGCCCAGCTCCCAAGCTTTCATGTGTGCATCAGTGTCTGCTGGGAGACAGTTGGTTTAAGGCCATACACGGCAGAGATCTGACAACTGACCCAGCTAGTGAAAATGCCTCGGGGAGCGCAGAACTTGACAGTGGCCATGAGCTGTCTCATTCACTGAAGCCACACAAACACTGTAGTGCCTTTCATTCACATCCTGCAGATCGGACTTGTTCCAAGTCACACAGTAGGTAATCCACTCACTCCAGGCTCCTAAGGGATACAGTCCTGGGAGTGAGAGGAAGTCACAGCTGCCACGGGGAGTGGTCCGGAGTCCGGGAAGAACCGGTGGTTGGCGCCCTCTGTCGTCCACCGAGGGTAAGCACACTCTGCTCTGAATAGAGAAGGAATCCCGCGTCTCTGACCGTACACCTGACTCCAGCGCACTGCCATCCTGCAGGGTTGCACTGCCATTGTCAATTTTTGCACAAGAAAACTGAGCCTCAAGAAGGGGATATTGTGTGTAGAAGTAAAGGTTGAACCAACTCTGCTACCGGGGCCACATCCTGCACCACCCTTGCTTAGCTGCTTGGCAGAGTTTGAAGCCCACCTGGGCTCCATTGGAGGGGGTGGGCTGTCTGATCAGGTGGCTGATGAGTGAAGAGCAGGAGATTAAGAATGGGCTCGGCCGGTGCCGCGGCTCACTAGGCTAATCCTCTGCCTGTCAAAAAAAAAAAAAAAATTAATGAGCAAGCTGGGATGTCTTCCATTTCCATTCCATTACATCTTCCAGAGCTCTGCTCTCGCTGGGGGTTCCAGTGGGCCTGTGACCTACATGTGCACTTAGCCAGTGTGGCAAAGAGGGGTTCTTGTAGTGGTTGGTCTTGGGAGTTGTTACCATAATAATTTGAGAATCTGTAATAAAAGAGTTTACTGAAGCTGGCCCCTGAAGTTCCACCATGAGAACTTCATTTGTTTCGAGTTGATTCCATAAAAGTACAAAGGGGTCTTGGGAATCACCTTTGGTAGAAATTACCGTTTTATTTTATCTTTTGAAGATTTATTAATTAATTTGCTTGAAAAGGCAGAATAACAGAGAGAAAAGGACACAGAGAGATAGAGATCTACTGGTTCACTCCCCAAATGTCCTCAATGGCCAGGGCTGGGCCAGGCTCTCCCATGTGAATGGCAGAGACCCAAGCACTTGGGCCATCTTCCACTGCCTTCCCAGGTGCATTAGCAGGAAGCTGGATTGAAAATGGAGCTTGAACCCACATGGGAGACCAGGAGGAAGTACCTGGCTCCTGGCTTCAGATCGGCGCAGCGCCGGCCGTAGCGGCCATTAGGGGAATGAACCAACAGGAGGAAGACCTTTCTCTCTGTCTCTCTCTCACTGTCTATAACTCTCCTGCTGTCTCTCTTTCTCACTGTCTAACTCTGCCTGGCGAGGAAGGAAATTAAAAAAATATCGAAACGGAAAATGAACAAGTGGAGTTTTGAAACCGACACTCATATGGGTTGCTGGTGTTCCAAGCGGCAACTTAACCCACTGTGTCACAATGCAGGCCCCCAAAAACCCTCACTTCTTGAGTGATTCCACTCATGGGCACCTCCATTTTATGGGCACCTCCATTTTAGCACCTCCTGGGCTGCACTTTTGCTTCTGAAATACTAACCCAAGATATCACAATAATAACAAAAACAACTCACCTGTACTGACTGTACTCTGTGTGACAGTTAACGCTCACAATAATTCTATAAACAAGACCTTATGAAGATCACCCCTGTTTTACAGATGAGAAGACTGAGGTGCAGCATGGATACACAGGTAGGGACCCAAGACCACACAGCTGGTCCTGGCAGACAGACTGTAGCTCAGGCAGCCTGGTGCAGGAGCTCTGACTGCCGGGGCCTGGTTTTCTGTCATGCTGATTGTGCACTCTGGGCACAGAGAGGGACAGGGGCTTGCCCACAGAGAGAGACTAGGGACAGATAAGATTCCCAGAGTTTCCATCCCAGGACCCTGTCGCCTGTGCTCCCCGAGGGGAGGACTAAGCTGTCTGCATGGTCCTTTGTTGCTCAAACCAGCTGGCCGTCCTGACAAAGGTTGGGCCTCGCCCAGGACAGCCAGGGCTGCATACGGGGAGCTGTGGAGGGAAGGGAGAGAGGGGCTAAATGGGTCTTGTTCCCTAGTGAGGGAGGGGTTCTGAGTTGGGGAGGAGGCTCCAGCTTCCACTAACCCGTCGAAGATCTCCCAGAGCTCCTGGCAGCCCTCAGGGGTCCAAGTACCCTGATTACATGGTGCAGGAGCTGCCTGTTAGGTCTGCAGTACCTATCCTGCAGCCATGGGCTGATCCACTCAGAGCAGAGGGGATGGAGATCTGAGAGAGACAGAGAGAGAGAGAGAGAGAGAGAGAGAGAGAGAGATACATGGCCGGGGCGGGGTGGGGGGGGCAGCACTGCCCAGGCTCTTGGGAGGGGTCAGTGATGGAGGGAAGGGACATCTGGCCTGCTCTCCCCTAGAGTCTGCAGGCCACCCTGCAGATGGAGAAGCATTATAAGGGAGCCTCTCCCTCCTTCCCTAGAGGGAGAGAGGGCAGCCATGGGTTCTAAGGGTCTGAGTGAGCGTCCCTACCTCACATGAACACTGACCTGCACGTACCTTCCTGAAACCTGGGAAGCCTAGACACTGGGCCGTGATCCGGAGAAGGAAGGCAAGGCCTCCAGACCAGACTCCTGGGTTGTTCCAGGGAGCTCTGACTGATTCCATGTGTGTGAGGAGAGTCCAGCCCTGGGCAGGGTAGAACATCTCCTTTGGGCAGCCAGGCAGGGGCTCTATGTGAGAGGAGTGCAGGGTGGGCAGGCTCATCCTTGTCCGAGGCCTGGCACCGGCACCTGCTTTTCTCCCAGGTGAGCTTCCTGGAGATCCTGAAGGCAGCTGGGAAGGTGAAGGGACCAGCAGAGTCCTGTGGGGCTGGGTGCCCCGGATAAGTCTTTCCCCAGCTGCTATGGACGGCCTGATGTGCAAGTCCTGCTTGACCAAGAGGCCATGGGGCAACATCTGGGCTGTGACACCAGGTTGCACAGCAGCCCCCTTTTCCTTCCTCCTGCTCTGGCTGAGTGTGCAACCACAGTACATGTCTGGGCCTCAGCACCCTGACTGTGACCATCCCTGTGGGGTCCAGGAGAGACTGACAGTGGCCAGGAGGTGAGGAAACCGTTTCTTCATCCTGCACACAGGCAGACCGGGTCATTGCCCAGCAAGCCAGTGAGGCAACAGCAAGGGGCTGAGGCAAGCCCAGCCCCAACCCTGGCAGGCAGCCAGTGACGGGCAGGTCAGGAAGGGCCCTGGCTGGGCCTCTGCATCAGGCTCAGTCGGGTATAAAGGAGGTTCCTGGGGGCAGAGGGGAGGCAGACTTGGGGAGGATGGAGACCCATAAGCACGGACCTTCCCTGGCCTGGTGGTCACTGTTGCTGCTGCTGCTGGGCCTGCTGATGCCCCCAGCCATCGCCCAGGACCTCACCTACCGGGAGGCTGTGCTCCGCGCTGTGGATGCCTTCAACCAGCAGTCCTCAGAGGCCAACCTCTACCGCCTCCTGAGCATGGACCCCCAGCAGCTGGAGGTGAGCCCCAGCCAGGCCAGGCTGCAGGTGGCTTTGCTCCAGCCAGGCTTGGCCACACAGAGCTTCCTTTGATCTCCCAGAAAAACTTCCTGGGGCTCTTTGTGCTCCCCCAGGAAGAGGACTTCCTGCCTCAAAGTCCCTGCTGTGCCAGAGGAGCCCCTCCCATTGCAGGCCCCAGGGACAAGGATCGGGCCATTGGCTCCGGGAAGTGCCTGTGCCTCCCCCTGCTTTAATTCTCCTTCTGTATCCTGTAATCCCTCGAGGGTCCAGTGAACCCATGCTCCAAGAAGCCCCGTGGCTGCCCTCAGAGGCACTCTGAGGCTGCTCGCGCCCACTGTGTGCTCAGGGAGCGCTCAGTCCTCCAGTGCCCAGCCCAGGGCTTGGCGCACTGTAGGCGCTGCTGGAAGGCTGCTCCCTTGTTTGGTAGTGGGGAGGGTGAGGGAGGCGATCAGAGGAGGCAAGGATAGGGCTGAGCCTGGTCTCCACATTGTCCCCTCTGGCCAGGATGCGAAGCCATACACCCCGCAGCCTGTGAGCTTTACGGTGAAGGAGACGGAGTGCCCCCGGACAACATGGAAGCTACCAGAGCAGTGTGACTTCAAGGAAGATGGGGTGAGGCTGGGGGCCGGGTGGGAGCCTCCAAGGAGGTGAGCAAACGGCTTCTGGGATGGGGCTGGGAGGTCACAGCAAGGGTTCCAGTTTGCTGAGTTTTCCCTTTCAGCTGGTGAAGCGGTGTGTGGGGACTGTGACACGGTACCAGGCCTGGGACTCCTTTGACATCCGCTGCAACAGGGTGAGTGGGCTGTTTGGGGATGCAGGGGGCACCCTGGGCTCCTCAACTTGAACCCCATCTCTAGGGCATTCCCTTAGAGCAGTGGTTCTCCGAGTGCGGACCTCATCCGGGAACTTGTTGCAGATGCAGGTTCCCAGGGCCCACTCAGACCTCCTGGGGCCTAGCAGTTTGTTTTCAAAGGCACTTCAGGAGGTTCTTCCCCTGCTGAAGCCTGAGAGCCACTGACTTGGAGCAATGAGCTCTTAGCCCGGAGAAAGCCCATGGGGGAGGGCTCGCTCTCTCTGGGACTCAGTTTTCTCATCTGTTTATTGGGTATAGGGACTCAACCACACCATCCAAAGGTCACACCAGAGGGTGAATTGAGGCCCCAAGGCTCTTGGGGTGTCCCGGGCTGGGAGGTTAGGTAGAAAGGGGTCTTGGGTTGTCTCTGGATGCAGTCTCACAAGGAGTCCATTTCTTCCTGGTGTACAGGCCCAAGAGTCCCCAGAACCTACTGGGCTGCGCAAGCGCTTACGAAAATTTAGAAACAAGATTAAAGAAAAGCTTAAAAAAATTGGTCAGAAAATCCAGGGTTTGCTGCCGAAACTTGCACCCAGGACAGATTACTAGGGTCTGCCCTGCCCTGGACTCTGAAAAATAAACTGTGTGAAAGCAACTTTTCCAGGGATCAACTGATTTGTGTTGCCTCTTCCTTGTCACCAGCTCTAGGAGTGTGTGTGTGTGTGTGTGTGTGTGTGACCGAGAGGGGAGCAGGTGGGAGAGCTGTTCCATCAAGGAAGTGTGAGGTGATATAGCAGGGCCAGGAGGTCCAAGACAACTTCTCAGGGCCCTCCCCAGGTCTTTAGCACACCTGCTGCCCTCCGACACTTAAGGCGGTCGCAGAGAGATGACACGGAGGAAGGGACCAGGTGCTTTGCTAAGGATACACTCAGAGTTTGCTATCTCCCGGGGGCTGGCTGCCAGTCCTCCCTGACAGCAAAGCCTTGGATGGCGAGCTCCAGGGACAAGTGATGCCCATTGTGTTACAGGGATGTCAGGGAGCAGGCCCCAGCCCAGCCTGGGGGGGTGGGGGAGACAGCCTGACAAAGGCACAGTGACAGGTGTGGTGGGCCTGCGTTGTAACACTACATGGAGCATTCTAGGCAGGCAGGCAGGCAGGCAGGGGTGGGGCGGGGGTGGGAGTGGAGGGATGGACGGGTCCAGGACCTAAAGAGCAAGGGGGAAACGGTGATGGTTTTAGCAGTGGGAGATTGGATCTGATGTCCAATGTTGGGGAGGGGGAGAGGAGAGCAGCCAGGCCTTTTCCTTCCGGGAGCAGTGGCCAAAGGAGATGTAGAAAGAACAGAGGGAGCGTGGGCCAGAGTGCCAAGCATGAGGCTGGCAGGGATGGAGTCCTGGAGGCGGAGGGGAGGAAGGGGCGGGATGATTCCCTGATGGGCTGGCTAGTGGTGGCGCTGCATCGCGGGTTGAGCCTTTTTTGGGGGGCAGGCATGACAGAGGGGGAAGGAGGTGCAGCTTCACCTGCCTGCATTAGCTCTGAAGGGTCAGCGGGTTGGGGGACGGGGTGCTGGAGAAGCTTGTAGTCAGTGTTAGGGCCCTGCCCAGATCCCCTCAGGCCTGTAGGACCCTGCCCCAGTTATTTTCTCAGCTGCTGCCTTCCCAGGGGCCGGCAGGAAATGCCAGGGAGGTCATTCCTGCCTCCTCTGCCCACAGCCTGTGCACAGTGGTGACTGACTGATGGGAGGGAATGGAAGTTGGGCCCTTTGCTCAAACACTAAAACAGTCCTGCACTCCAGGCCTGTGGAGGCACCAGGGCCTGCGTGCAGACAGGCAGGGGAAAGCTAAGGTGTCTCCAGGCAGCCGAGGTGTGGGAAGTGGAAGCACGGAGTGAGGTGGGGGCAGTCTCATGAGACAGTAGGAGTTGAGAGTTTCAGAAAATGCTGAGGGTGTCCATGCAAGGGGCCCAGGGAGGACTCCTAACGGCTTTGCCTATTCCACGAAGGGGCTCTGCAGTGCGCAGGTATTGCAGGGCGTTGTTTTTCGAGACTCCTCCAACCTGGAGCATTTCCACAGCCTCTGTATCCTTTCAATCTCTAGGAAGTTTGTGTGTGAGATGCGTGGATGTATGCTGAGTTACGTCAAGGTGTGGGCACATAGTGAATGGGAAGGTATTTAAGGGTATGTGTGTGGACACAGCTATGTGTGGCTATGGGATTTTATGTGACTGTGTGTGATTATGTGTCGGATGTGTGTGGGCTTGTGGATGTGGGTTCGGGTGTTTGTCTGATATGGGTAAGTGGGGACTGTGTCAGTGTAGGCTGCCTCCGTGTGGGTTTCCTTTTTCTTTTCTTTCTTTTTTTTTTTTTTTTTTTTACAGGCAGAGTGGGCAGTGAGAGAGAGAGAGACAGAGAGAAAGGTCTTCCTTTTGCCGTTGGTTCACCCTCCAATGGCTGCCGTGGCCGGCGTGTTGCTGCCGGCGCACCGCGCTGATCCGATGGCAGGAGCCAGGTACTTCTCCTGGTCTCCCATGGGGTGCAGGGCCCAAGGACTTGGGCCATCCTCCACTGCACTCCCGGGCCACAGCATAGAGCTGGCCTGGAAGAGGGGCAACCGGGACAGAATCCGGCGCCCTGACCGGGACTAGAACCCAGTGTGCCGGCGCCGCAAGGCGGAGGATTAGTCTAGTGAGCCGCGGCGCCGGCCCCGTGTGGATTTCTAAAGTGTGGCTGCCTGTGTCAGGCTGTGGCTGTGTGTGTGCCTGGGGAGTATGTGTATGAGGAGTGTGTAAGGGGTGAGTGTGTCAGGGCATATAGCTGGGTTCGAGTATGGGGTTTTCTGCATGGGTATGTGAGTGTACGGGTGTGTTTGTCAGTATGGATGGTGTGTTTACCAGCATGGTTGTGGCAATGGGTTTGTAATATATGTAAATAAAAATTTATACATTTCCTTTATTCTCTAAAATTATATGTATACTCGTTAGGGTATATTTTATCTGGCATAAACAGAAATTGTATTTTATTAGCTCATTCCCAAAAGAAGTGTGCAACTGTAGCAGGGTCTTAGTGGCAGAGTCTTGAGCAGAAGACTGGAAGTTACACTTGGAGGGGGCGTGGAGGCCGGCACTGTGGCATAGCGGGTAAAGCCGCGGCCTGCAGGGCCGGCATCCCATATGGGCGCCGGTTCAGTCCCGGCTGCTCCACTTCTGATCCAGCTCTCTGCTATGGCCTGGGAAAGCAGTAGAAGATGGCCCAAGTCTGTGGGAGATCCAGAAGAAGCTCCTGGCTCCTGGCTTCAGATCAGCACAGCTCCGGCCGTTGCGGCCAACTGGGGAGTGAACCAGCGGGTAGAAGACCTCTCTGTCTCTTTGCCTTACCGTCTCTCTGTGTAACTCTGATTTTCAAATAAATAAATTAATTTTTAAAAAAATGGGGGGTGCAATGCTTATCCAGTTACCTAATGTTATACTTTTTATTAAAAATTATTTGGCAGGGCCGGCGCTGTGGCACAGCAGGTTAATGCCCTGGCCTGAAGCGCCGGCATCCCATATAGGTGCCGGTTCTAGTCCCAGCTTCTCCTTTTCCGATCCAGCTCTCTGCTATGGCCTAGGATAGCAGTAGAAGATGGCCCACATCCTTGGGCCCCTGCACCCATGTGGGAAACCTAGAGGAGGCTCCAGGCTTCTGGCTTCAGATTGGCACAGCTCTGGCTGTTGCAGCCAACTGGGGAGTGAACCATCTATTGAAGACCTCTCTCTCTGTCTCTACCTCTCTCTGTAACTTTTTCAAATAAATAAAATAAATCTTTTTTAAAAATTATTTGGCAATAATTACAAACTTACAGGAAACTAGCAAGAACAGTGCAAAAATGTCCAACATTTTGTTTTGGTCTTGCCTTTAATTTTGCCTATAATCCTTTTACCCTGCCACCTTTGGTAACATTTTGTCCCATTTGCTTTATTCTGTTTTTAAAAAGTATTTATGTGTTTATTTTTATTTTATGTGAAAGAGGGGGGGGAGAAAGAGAGAGATCCTCTATCTACTGGTTCACCCTTCAATGCCCAGAACAGTCAGGGCTGGACCAGAGTCAGGAGCCTGGGACTCAATCTGGTCCCCTACATGGGTGGTAGACTCGAGTACTCAAGTCATCATCCACTGTCTCCTGGCATGCACACCAGCAAGAAGCTGGGTTGGGAGTGGAGCAAGAGGGGTCCCAAAGCCGGCACTTAGAAGTGGCATGTGGACACTCCAAATGGTGACCCAACCATTGCACCAAATGCCCACCCCCAGATCGCTTTTACATGAAAAAGGGATGAGTGTGAACTAGAACTTCTAACTTCTAGGTTGTAGTCAAGTTTATGTTTCTCATTTGTCTATTATTGTTATGGCTCTTCTTAAAAAAATAATTTATTTATTTGGAAGGCAGAGAGCCCAAGAAACAAACAGCACCCATCTTCTGGGAGCCAGGGATCAAGAAGACAAAAGTGAGGATGTTCAGGTGGAATGCTGGTCTATCTCTGCGTTAAACACCATACAGCCATGAACATGAAGAACGAACGGCTCAGCGCACATCATTACAGAACTCAGCAGACTGAACCAGGCCTAAAAGCATGAAAAACACTATATTGTGCTTACATTTACTGTGGTAAAAGCAAAAATATAAGAAATGCCTCATGTGGGAGCTCTCAGGGTGGGGAAGGGAAGCTAGCGAATCAGTGGGACTGGGTAATAAATTTCCCCAGTTCTTCGCGAGAAGCAGCTCACCCCGCCCCCAGAACTACGATTCCCGGCAGGCTGCGCGCTGGGCCGTGACGCACTTCCTCCTGAGACGCCCCAAGCGGTGGGTGTCGCACGCGACCGACTTCCAACCCGCCTTGCTTGCCATGGCTACCGGTCGTTAATTTGGGTTCCGCGGGAGTGCGGCCACTGACGGTGAGTCGGTCCGGCGAGGCAAGGGCCGGATTGGCGAAGGCCTGGCGGGAAGAGTGTGACCGCCTCCCCTTTCCCGTGTTCACCGGTCGCACGCACGCCGAGTGGGGGCGCTGACAACCCCTCGCGCCGCTCACCCTGCAGTTTGGCTAGCGTTCCTCTCGCTGCCCACCATTCTCACAGCCACCTGTGCACGACTTCTTCCTTGGTTGTGGAGCCCCCACACCTCGGTCGGCCCGCCCAGCGCCTGTTTAGCCAGTCACTGCCACTGGATAGTGCCAGAAAGTAGGAATTTGTTTTGTAAAGTGGAAAGCACGAAGTGCGGGCAGCTGTCGCTATAATTCGCAGCTTCGTCCGGTGGTGAAAGATAAAGGAATCTTTACAGATTAAAGTTAGGTTCGACAGGTGCACGCTTAGCTCCCGGTGTGTTCTTGCTTGTATAAGTTAGCGTGGCCCTCTTTTGATTGATCAGCCATAGGACAATGCTTTTGGGAATTTTGATGTAACGTGGGCGCCAGTCAGTCTAGTGTCTACGTGCAGGTGGTTATTACTTTTTGCCCAGGGCCTGGGGTTCCTGTAAACAACCAACCAACAAAACTCCGTCAAGACAAGGCCTGACATTAAGATGTTATCTGTAAAGAAGATAAATGACCTCATGAGTCTTATGATTCGGGATCCTGTGAGGCTGGGACCTAATGCACCACTCCCTCGATTTAGTGAGTTAATCTTATTAAGGGGTTTGATTTGCAATCATCAAAGGAGGGTAAAGGAACTTTAAACTGACAGAGAGGTTCAGAGAGGGGAGACTAGGGCCTGGCATCAAAGGCACTCTCACCTGCTGCTTGGGCAGGGTCTGGTCTGCCCGTCCGCTCTGGCTGTCATTGGCTAGGCTGCTGAGGACCTGAGAAGTGCTGCGTGCAGTTGAGAAACTGCATTTTTAATTTTGCATAGTCTCTAACGATGGTTTGACTTACGATTTTTAAGATGACCAGGTGCAGGCCGGCACCGCGGCTCACTAGGCTAATACTCCGCCTGCGGTGCCGGCACCCTGGGTTCTAGTCCCGGTCGGCGCCGGTTCTGTCCCGGTTGCTCTTCCAGTCCAGCTCTCTGCTGTGGCCCGGGAGTGCAGTGGAGGATGGCCTAAACGCTTGGGCCCTGCACCCGAATGGGAGACCACGAGGCAGCGCCTGGCTCCTGGCTTTGGATCGGCGCAGCGCCGGCCATGGGAGCCGTTAGTGGAGTGAACCAACGGAAGGAAGACCTTTCTGTCTCTCTCTCACGCTGTCTATCCCTGCCTGTCAAAAAAAAAAATATGACCAGATGCAAAAGCAATACATAATTAGTAGAAAGCATACTTTACCTTTTTATCTTTCCCTGGGCTAGCAGTGTCTCCCTCTGCCCAAGAAGTAAGCTGATGTGAGTGTTCTGAGCAGGTTTATGGTATGCTGGGTTAAGCTGAGATGTTCAGTAGAAGTATTAAATGCATTTTTTGCTTAATGATACTTTCAGAATACAATAGGTTTATTGAGATGTAACCCCATGGTAAGTCAAGGAGCACGTGTATACTGGATTTTCAAAAGGTTTGTGGAAATGCATATTAGGAAAAAAACTGCTTGAATTTCAAAATTTTTTTCCAAAATAAACTTAAAATTTCAAGACTGTTTTCTTTTTTTTTATTTTTATTTTTTTATTTTTTTGACAGGCAGAGTGGACAGTGAGAGAGAGAGACAGAGAGAAAGGTCTTCCTTTGCTGTTGGTTCACCCTCCAATGGCCGCCGCGGCTAGCGCGCTGCAGCCGGCGCACCGCACTGATCCGATGGCAGGAGCCAGGAGCCAGGTGCTTCTCCTGGTCTCCCATGGGGTGCAGGGCCCAAGCACCTGGGCCATCCTCCACTGCACTCCCTGGCCACAGCAGAGGGCTGGCCTGGAAGAGGGGCAACTGGGACAGAATCCGGCGCCCCGACCGGGACTAGAACCTGGTGTGCTGGTGCCGCTAGGCGGAGGATTAGCCTAGTGAGCCGCGGCGCCGGCACAAGAATGTTTTCCATGAACTTTTGAAGTACTCTTGTATTTAGTTTTTTTTTACTCTTTTTTTTTTTTTTGACAGGCAGAGTGGACAGTGAGAGAGAGAGAGAGAGAAAGGTCTTCCTTTTGCTGTTGGTTCACCCTCCAATATTGTAGCTAAATAGTGAAGCAGTCTAAAATATTTTTTCCATTAGACATAGCTAATTAGTTTGGTTAAGACTATATTCTCTCCCCTCCCTTTTCTTAAAAAAAGATTTTATTGGGGCTGGTGCTGTTGCATAGTGGGTAAAACTGCCACCTGCAGTGCCGGCATCCCATATGGGCGCTGGTTCAAGTCATGGCTGCTCCACTTCTGATCCAGTTCTCTGCTTTGGCTTGGGAAAGCAGCAGAGGATGGCCCAAGTCCTTGGGCCCATGCTCCTGCATGGGAGACCCAGAAGAAGCTCCTGGCTCTTGGCTCTGGATTGGCCCAGCTCTGGCTGTTGTGGCCATTTAGGGAGTGAACCAGCAGTTGCAAGACCTTTCTCTCTCTCTCTCTTCCTCTCGGAAACTCTTTCAAATAAATAAAGAAATATTTTTTTAAAAGATTTTATTATACTTTTTTGAAAGGCAGAGTGACACAGAGAAGGAAGAGATAGAAAGAGATAGTTCATCTGCTAATTCATTCCCCATATAGCCCCAATGGCCAAGGCTGGGCCAGACTAAAGCCAGGAGCCTGGAACTCCATCCAGGTCTCACATGTGGGTGGCAGGGGTCCAAGTATTTGGGTTATCTTCTGCTGTCTTAGGTGCATTAGCGGGAAACTGGATCAGAAGCAGAGTATCTGGGACTTGAATTGGACCTCTGACATGGGATGCCAGTGCTGCAGGTGGTAGCTTAACCCACTGCACTGCAGTACTGGCCCCTTTATTATTATTTTCTTGGCAGGGACACAAGCACTTGGCCCATCATCTGCTGCCTCCCGGGATGTGTTAGAGGAATCTGGGTCAGAAGCAGAGTAGCTGGCATTTGAACCAGGCACTGAAATAAGGAATCAGGTATCCCAAGTGGTGGCTTAACCTGTGGTGCTCACTCACTCACCTCTTGGGATATTTATTTGACTATAAATGATCTTAAGCCAATCCCTGTCTACTGTTTCTCCCTTTAGCATTCAAGCATGTTCGGATTGTTGCCATCTTGAGGCGGGGGGGGACCTCTTCTAATCCCCTTTCTCTCTGTCCTTTTACAGCATCTCTTTCCCTTTGCAAACTTGGAAGCAGTCCCCGTTCGTTCAGTGTCTGATCCCACACACTCCTCGTCGCCCTTCTCTTGTCTCTGTCCCCGCCGTTAGCGGACACTGTTCCTGATACCTCCATTGACCTTATTTATTTTTTTCATCCCTTCCTTCACTCTTCAGACTTCATCTGATTTGAAGCCTCAGCAGGATCTGATTACATCCCCTTTGTCAGCTATTTCACCACTGCATGATGGAGTGTAGCATGCCAGTCTTCTCTCTCTTTTTTTCCTACAAGTACCCCATCTTGCCAATCACATTGATCCCCTTCATTTTTTTATTTTAAGATTTTTTATTTATTTGAAGGATAGAGAGAGAGAGAGAGAGAGGGAGAGAGAGAGTCAGAGAGTCTTCCATCTGCTGGTTCACTCCCTACGTGGCTACAACAGCTGGGGCTGGGCCAGGCCAAAGCCAGCAGCCAGGAGCTTCATCTGGGTCTCCCATGTGGGTGCAGGGGCCCAAGCACTCGGGCCGTCTTCTGCTACTTTCCCAGGCAGATTATCAGGGATACTGGATCACAAGTGGAACAGCTGGGAGTCACCAGTCCCCATGTGGGATGCTGGCATTGCAGGAAGCAGCTTAACCCTCTATGCCATAATGCTGGCCCCAATTTCCTTAATTTAAATCCCATTTTCTTTTTACTCAGTCACCAAGTCTGAAACCATTACTTTTTTTTTTTTTTTTTTAAGATTTATCTATTTATTTGAAAGGCAGAGCTCCAGAGAGGTGGAGGCAGAGAGAGAGGTCTTGGGATGCTGGTTGTAGCAGGCCGTGGCTTAACTAGCTGCACCACAACACCGGCCCCCCTCAGCAGTTTTTCTTAGCTCTTACTCCTCACCTAAAGCTTCTGTATGTACCTCAATTTTTACTGGCTCAGTGTCTGCAAGATTTACTTTTACATGAACTATATATACGCACCAAATAGAACAGACATTGAATTTGCTACTCGGTTTGAGTTGACACTTGGCTCTGTCACTGGCTGCCTTTAGGCACTACATAAGCTACACACTGAGTGTGTGAGAGCAACCTTACTGGGAGATTGTGACACAGTTCTCTCCTCATTTGCCACAGACTAGAAACCTGGCTTCAGGGCAGGTTCAGTTTCAACAACTGAGGAAGCGAGAATGCTCCCAGCCTCAAGGATTCAGTAGAACACTGACTTTTATTGAGGAAGAGAGCCCAAGTGCTCTCTGCATTTTTAGGCAAGGCGATTGGACAAGCTCTAGAGAAGAGGTAGATAGAGCCAGACTGCAGGGTGAGCAATGATGAGCCAGGCCCTCTGGCAGGTGGTGTGCCCAGCAGAGAGGGTACCTGGAGCTCAGGCTCCCCTGGTCCTCCCGTTTTGAGTCAGAGGTCTTCCTGGACTGATGCCTCCATCAGGCTGGTCCTGGACGTTCTGTCCTGGCTGCATGATGGATGCCTCCCTCTGGACTGTAGTGCACGGGGCCACGGCGCAGCCGGGGCTCCTCCTCTTCATACCAGCGCTGCTCACTGAAGTCAGGGAAGAAGGCTGCAATCTCTCTGCGGGCTGACGCTACGGAGTCTGCAAGGGAAGGTGAGAGAGGGCATCCTTAACCTGTACTACCTAGTACAGGGCGCAGGCACGAGGTGATCATGATCAGGTTCAGAAATCAGAGCTCTGCTTTCCCTGCTGGCTCCCTCAGATCTAGGACATAGAAAGAAAATCCAGAGGGGGCCAGTACTGTGGCATAGTAGGTTAAGCATCTGTCTGCGGCGCCAGTATCCCATGTGGGTGCCGGTTCGAGTCCCAGCTGCTCCACTTGTGATCCAGCTCCCTGCTGATAATCTGGGAAAGCAGTGGAAGGTGGCCTAAATGTTTGGGCCCCTGTACCAGCATGGGAGACATGGAAGAAGCTCCTGGCTCTTGGCTTTGGATCGGCCCAGCTCTGGCCATTGCGGCCATCTGGGGAGTGAACCTGCAGAGGCAAGACTGCCTCTGCCTCTCTCTAACTATGCAATTCAAATAATAAATAAATCTTAAAAAGAAAATCTGGAGGCCACATCTGCTGAGACAGGTACCAACAGTCAGAAACATAAATGGAAAGGAAGCTTATTGGTGGGATCTGGCTGTCAACCCCACCATATAACCCGCCCACCAACCCCTGAACATCATGGCTGTGGACAAGGGAGGTGGACCCACCTGAGCCATGGGTGGTGTTGCGGGTGTCAGTGAGGCCAAAACTCCCACGAATGGAATCTGGGGCTATGTGGCGTGCTCGAAATACTCTGGTGGGTCCCATCAGCGTCCTCCAGAGCTGTATGGCATCCTTGTGGGCGAGAATGTAGGCTCGAATTGGCCCACTGTGAACAAAAGGAGCGCATGTAAGGAATCCGGCCATCTAGTCCAAGAGGGACTGCTGTGAGCAGAGTACAGCGTACACCCTGAAAGTGGCTTCGCCTTCCTAGCAGATTACCAGTGCTGCTTCACAGCCAAGGGGACCGGGGCCACGGAGAGCCGCAGTTGCTAGGCAGCATCCAGTGTGCTCCTCTGCAGTTGCTGGTCCAGGAACCAGCATGGGACAGGTGATTACAACTTTAAGGAGTGGCAAACGAAATCAAGAAATCTATTCAGGGGCAAATGAAATTAATCTATTTATGGGGCTGGGAGGATGGGCCTCATGGATAAAGATACTGGATCCAAAATCAGAAATACCTGGCCATGAACTCCACCAGCCGCTGGTAGAAAAAGCGCCCTGCAAAGAAAGAGTAACTTCATCAGGATGTTGGTGCCCAAGAGAATTTTGGGGGTATTTCTACCTCCTTACTTGGAATAATAAAAGCTGTTATAGAAAAAAAAAAAAAGGGAGGGCTGGCATTGTGGCATAGCAGGTGAAGCCATTGCCTGGGATGTGGCGTCCCATGTGGGCACTGGTTCATCTCCTGGCTGCTCCACTTCAGATCCAGCTCCCTGTTAATGGCCTGGGAAAGCAGCAGAAGATGGCCCAAATTCGTGGGCCCCAGCCATCCATGTGGAAAACCCTGGCTCCTGGTTTCGGCCCTGGCCATTGCAGCCATCTGGGCAGTAAACGAGTAGATGGAAGATCTCTCTCTCTCTTTCTGGGGTCTGACACGCCTGGGCCTGAACCTACACTCTGCTACTTAGAGTCTGTGTGGTTTCCAAGTGAGTCATCCGCCTCCCTCACCCAGTTTCCTTTTTGTGTATTTGTGATACCTGGCCCTTGGGCTTGTCAGGAGAGTGAGATGAAATGAGCATCAGGACGATGTCTCACAGAACAAATATTAAGTGTTAACTACTGATATTCTTACCAGGACATAAAATTAAGTTTCTGGCTGGGACTATGAAACCTGATAGAGGGGGGACAAAAAAGACCTATAACTATGCCAAGTTTGTGTATGAATCAGGACTTGAGGAGACAGGGTACAGGTTCACACGCTGCATCAGACAGGGCCTGTCCTTTGGGTTCCAACTGAAGTTGCCCTTCGAGGCCTCCTGGGACTGAGAAACCGCCCACTCGGAGGACTGTTGGTCCTACCTTCATGCTCTTGGTAAAACCTCCGGCAGTCTTCCTTTCTCCACAGGAGTTCTCTCCTTCGCACAATAAGGAACTTGTTGTTCAGAATCTGCTGATGAACAGCCTGGATAAACCCCACCCCAAAGACAAAAGCCAATCAGAGACTCAGGCTGACCAAAAGAAATCTAGAGAACCCCACAGAGCCCAGGCCTGAGGGTCTGTCCTATGGGTGGGCTACCTTCACTCACAGCTAGAGTTAGGCCTCTGCTCCGTGATCCTGCAGTCCTTGAATTCAAGACAACAGGAAAAGCCTTTGTGACTGGAGTGCCGTGAGTTTCTTTCATTCTCCAGACCAGCATCCTTGATAGACTAAACATTCCAAAATTTACACGTCACTCTGGTCAGTTTTGGGTGGTTCCTGTTACTCATGGGATGAGGTGCAACCACTTTAGCTCAGTGCTCAAGGCTGCACTCCCCTGTCCTCGGCCCCTTCCCAGTTTTCCAGTCCCACAACCAAGGCACACACATTCCTGCCTTGGTACCTGCCTTCTGGGGAACACCTGTCCTGGCACTAACAGAGTTCCACCCTTCCTTCGAGGCCTGGCCCAATCCACGCCAGGCCACCATTCCCGACTGCTCTGCTCCTGTGTACCATGACGGGCATACTCGGCAGGGTTGCTCAGTTAGTACTTACCAAATGGTAGTGGGTGGGGCTCTAAAGTAACCCTCCCCTCCGATACCTCCACCCCCAATTCCCGGGACTATGAATACGATACAACAGGACTGTGATATGGTACCTAACAAACGGGATTTGGCAGATGGAATGAAGATTGCCAGGCAGTAGAATTTACTTTAACTAAAAGGGAGATTATCCAGGTGGGCACAGTTAATCACAGGCGCCCCCCCTTTTTAAAGATTTATTCATTTGAGAGGTAGAGTTACAGACAGAGGGAGAGACAGAAAGAAAGGTCCTCCCTCTGCTGGTCCACTCCCCAAATGGCCACAATGGCTGGAACTGTGCCGATCCAAAGCCAGGAGCCAGGAGCTTCCTCCCGGTCTCCCACATGGGTGCAGGGCCCAAGCACTTGGGCCATCCTCCACAGCCCTCCCAGGCCACAGCAGAGAGCTGGTTTCGGAAGTGGAGCAGCCAGAACCAGAACTGGCACCCATATGGGACGGTGGTGCCGCAGGCTACTGCACCACGGTGCTGGCCCCAGGTGCCCCTTTCTAGGCAGAATTTTCTCTGGCTGGGGGCAGTAGGAGAAGTCAGAGATCTGAAATGTGAGAAGGTCTTGATGTACTATTGCTGTCTTGACAACGCAGTGAATCCTGTGACATGGAATCCAAGTGGTTTCCAGGAACTGCTGAGGGCTAGAAGGGAGGCAGGGCCCCCAGTCATACAATTACAACCTTAGTGAGCCTGAAGTGGATTTGGCCTTGTGACACTCTAAGGAGATAACCCAGCCAAACCCAGCCAATGGAACCCTAAACTACACTCAGAAAATTGAAATAAGTGTCGTTTTAAGCTGTGTGGTAATCTGCTATGTAGCAATAGAAAGTCAATATATTCCTAAATTTTCTTGAAATTTTTTTTATTATGGTGTTGGTTCCTTTCTTTTAGATCTGTCCCAAGTCTCCAACAGATTTTTAGTTTCCTTAGGGTCACAGTTCATGGCTCTGAGCTTTACCTCAGCAGCATTTGGTTTAGCACTTAGTTGATAGTCACCACAGATACCAATATGGCACCCGAAACAGGTGCTTTGATTTGTTCTTACCTCCAGAATCAGTGGGTGAGCAACTGCATCAGGCTTAATCAGGGCGAGAGTGAGCTGGAGAGCCTGAGGGCTTCGCAAGATGGAGGTCATCCTGCCATCAGAGAGCTGGATTAGGGACCCATGAGTGCCACACTCCCACCCTTCCCTACTCGGGAGCAGTGCTCTCGAGAACTGAACCAGCTGCCAGGGCCATCATAAAGCTATAGACATTTTATTCAGCTGCCTGTTTGGGCTCATGGGATTAACGGGAATGGTAGGCAGCTCTCAAATTGCCCCCACAAACATATAATCTGGTTTGTTCAACTGTAAGGCTACAAGGGAGGCACCCATTCAAGAGAAATCCAATTCAAACAGTACCTATCTCTGCCAATATGCTCTTCCCCTCCAAACTTCTGTTTTACAGAGGATTTGTAATTTACACTCCTGAACAGTCTAGCCACAAAGGTACAATGCCTGATTCTCCTCTTATGGCCTTGTATCTGAGGTCGCATAGTGCTGTCTCATCATTTCTAGAGCTGGAAAATGGATGGGCAAAATTGGGGGAATATTGCAATGACAGCAAAAAATCTGGTAGCTATACACCATTTCTTATCTGATATGATAGGTCAAGATCTCTGCCCAAATCAAAACTATCAATACGCTTGGTTGTTCTCAGTGATGAGGCTTGTAGAAGTGCTACTCTAAGTCACTGGTTGTGATCAGTTTGTATCCAAAGCAGCAGAAACCGCCTGGCACAAAGGTGCTCAGTCAGCTGTACTAACTAAATGAACGTGCACTTCTCATTTCTGTTCTTCTTTGCACTCTAGTGTCTGGCATGATGTACTGTAGAAATGGCGTACCCAACACACAGTATTTATAAACTGGGTTGGATTTGAGGTCTCCTCCAACTGTGAAATTCTGTTTCCTGTGAGAAACTGATCACCTCCAAAGGAATAACAACTAGGTTTCAAAATACTGTCTCAAATTTGCCAACACAGGGACATACCCGGTGACGGAGCCTGGGTAACATTCTTGTTTCTCTCAGCCTGAAGCTGCTCTGACAGTTGTGTTAAAGGTGGCCCCAATGAAGAAACTAGGGCAAGGACTCTTCTATTCATGTTTTTTTCTACAGCTTTCAACTTGATATTGCACCAAACCCAATCGAACAGGTACAAGGTCAGCCAAGCCACTCTCCCCGATATTCCAGGTAGTAACCTGGCATCTTCGCCAATTATCTGTGGAGACGTTCTTGAGACTGCCATCCCTCACCCTCCACATCTGCACCCTCACAAAGTCCTGGGACTTTTACCACGCAGTACATCTCAACATGCACCCAGATCACTCCCTTAACTGTCACCACCCCAGTCCAAGACACCCCTCCCTGGACCTCTCTAGCAGCTGCCTTGCTGGCTTCCCCCACAAAGTAGCCAGAGCGAAGTACACATGTAAATCTAACCCTGCTATTCCGTTCGCAACCCCGCCAGGCGATGCATGATCTTCCCCTGGCCACCTCTCTGCCCTAGTCTGGAACCCCACGCTGCTTAACTTTCTTTAGCTTCAACTTCGTGAGCTGAAGTCTTTCAGTTCCAAAAAATCTTTTGGCCTGGCAGCTTCTGTGTGAGGCCTTTCTGAAGGCCACATGTGCTTCCTCTGGTGACCCTGTACTTGTCCAGATGGTAGCTCACCAACCCTGTTATACCAGGCCTTGGTTTGAATAGATCCCTCATAGTCCATGTGTTGAAAGCTTAATCCCCAACACAGCAGTGTTGGGGGTGGTCCTGCCGTCATGAACGGATTAATGCCATTATCATAGAGTGGGTGAGCCAGGTGGGTCTGTGAGCCAGTGTGCATTCGCTTTAGCAGCCCTGTCCTGCACCTGCCAGATGCCAGCATCATGCTTTTGGGCTTCCCAGCCTCCCAGAACTGTCAGCCAAATTTCTGTCCTTTGTAAATTACCCAGTCTCAGGTGTCCGTTAATAGCAACAGAAATCAGACTGAGGCAGCGTTTTCACAGCTGCTTGCCTGTTTGCCTCAGTTATGTCTTCCCCACTAGACGGTCAGGTGCATGGGAGCAGGGCTGTTTTTGCTCATGGTCATACCCTCGGAAGCTGGGGCTGGCTCTGGGCACTAGTAGCTGAAGGCATCAGTGGGTGGACCTGGCCCCCCTACTCCACAGCCAGGCTGCTGGGCGCTCTCCGGGGGAGGGCACGTGATCTGGAGAGAGGTTCCGTTGCTTTCCTAACGCCAGGTAAGTTAGGGCTGTCTTGTTTCTGGGTATACAAATAGAGACACATCCATAAACTTGTTCAATCAAAGGGCCTCTCCTTCACAGAATTACACAAATTTTAAAAGTGGCCTCGGCATTTACAACCCATCTGAGGGGGCCGTGTTCCCATTCTCCCGCGTCAGGCGGGATCTTTTGCAGTCCCCTCAACGCTACCTCGGTCCCCACACCTGTGACCTCTTCTCCACTTCCTCAAGCTCCGGCCTCCGCAACGCCCACCCCAACTCCCGTCAAATTCTCTGGGTTATGCTGCGCGACCTCCACCCCCTTGTACCGGGGATCTAGCCCACTTGGGAGCTACTTCAGCCAGAGTCCGCGTCCGGACTCACCTGGCCCTCCGGTCACTGCGCCCGGCGACCAGGCACCGCCTCAGGCAGCCCGCAGGGCCCTAACGGGGTCCTTCAGGCGCTCGGCAGGGCAACCCTGTTTGGGGTCCTCTCGTGGTGCGGATCCGCTGCGAGGCCGCGGTCGGCGGGGCGGGGCAGGTTGAAGCAGGACCGACATTTCGATGGCCTTTGTCTCTCTAGCATTTGCTCTGGGCGACGCAGGAGGCAGCGGGCTTGCGCGCCCGCAGGGGAACAAGTGCGAGCTGCCGTGCTGGCGCAGCGGTGGACGGGGAGGCCGAACCGACGGGCAGGGGGCAGCCGAAGCCGGGCAGTGACTCGGGCACAGAACTTCCCCGAACCTTCCGTGTGACCTTGCCTGGACTAGTGCCTGGCGCATGGTTGGTGCCCAGCGTATGCAAAAGGCCAGGATTGGCGCTCGATCCCGAGGACGCAGGCAGCCCTTGAGAGTCTGTAGAGCTCGGAGCAGTACATAGTACATAGGCCTGAAGGAGTGTGGCTAATGGGGGTTGGTGCGGGAGGATCCTTGGCTGGCGCACATTAGCAGGGAGCTGGATCACAGTGGAGCAGCCAGGACTCTAACCGGTGCCCATATGAGATGCTGCTACAGGTGGCAGCTTTACCTGCTGCGCTACGGCACAGGCCCTGACACTTTCTTGATTGGTCCTACTTTATGCAGAGCTGGACTTGTTTGTTGGATGTGATTGCATCTTTAGTTTTCTGGAGCAGTTTTCGAACAGATTCTTCTCGAGTTTGTCTTGGTGTTCGGGGTCTCCATTGTAGGAGAGATGAATTTAAAAAAACAGCTGGGGCTGGGCCATGCTATAGCTAGGAGCTAGTATCTCTATGGGTTTCCCATATGGGTGACAGGTACTCAAGTACTTGAGCCATTACCTGCTGCCTCCCATGGTGTGTATCATCAGGAAGCTGCATCAGAAGTGGAAATGGGGCGGGGGGTGGGGGTGGGGGGTGCCTGACTCTTTTGTGTAGCGGGTAAAGCCACTGCCTGCAGTGCGGGCATTCCTTATGGGTGCCAGTTCAAGACCCGGATGCTCCACTTCCGATCCAGTTTTCTGCTATGGCCTGGGAGAGCAGTGGAAGATGGCCCAAGTCTTTGGGCCGCTGTACCCACATGGGAGACCTGCAGGAAGCTCCTGGCTCCTGGCTTCGGATCAGTGCAGCTCCAGCCATTGCAGCCAATTGGGGAGTGAGCCAGTAGATGGAGGACCTCTCTCTCTCTCTTTCTCTTTCTCTCTCTCTCTTTCTCTGCCTCTCCTCCTCTCTGTGTAACTCTTTCATATAAATAAATAAATCTTAAAAAAAAAAAAAGTGGAAACGGGACTACTGGACCACAACACCTGCCCCAAACTTGTCTTTATGTTACATGTTGCATGAGATTTCTGGTGTACCTTCATATCATGAGGAGGTGTTCGCCCATCATCATATCTTAGCCAGCCAGCTTTTGACTTATCAGTGTCCTACCAGGATCCAGGGTTCCTGGATAATAAAAGTCTCTGCTTTGTGGAACTCACACAAAGGCAAAATTCCTATTTATAACCATGCCACCTTGTGACTCAACTAGTAACTAGTACTTTGTTTTCCCCATATTTTCTTTTAATAAATATTTTGTTTAGTTGAGAGGCAGAGTTACAGATAGGGAGAGACAGAGAGAAAGGCCTTCCATCTGTTGGCTCACTCCTCAAATGGCTGCAACAGCCAGAGTTGGGCTGATCCAAAGTCAGGAGACAGCAGCCTCCTCCTAGTCTCCCACACAGGTGCAGGGGCCCAAGCACTTGGGCCATAATCTACTGCTTTCCCAGGCCATCACAGAGAGCTGCATTAGAAGAGGAGCAGCCGGGATTCAAACCAGTGTCCATATGGGATGCTGGCGCTGCAGGAGGAGGCCTAGCACTGGCCCCCTTTCTGTAACTGCTCTTTATAGCTGCCCAGTTTTGAGAGGTGTCCCCCAAACCCCATGACTTCTTTCTCTTTACTAAAAGACACCATCTCAGTTTCCTGAATACCAGACCCCTCTGGGTAACTTTTTTCAGTTTCTTCAGAGACCCTTACCTTTCTTCTCTTTCAGTTGTTTTGGACCCCAAAGGATTTTTCTGCTTAATAACAAGTTGCTGCCCTCTTTCCTGATAGTATTTTTTTTTAATTGGTTATTTTATTTATTTGAGAGAGAGCTGATGGTTCCCCAAATGCATGCAACAGCCATGGCTGGGCTGAGCTGAAGCTGAATGCCAGGAACTCAATCCACGTCTCCCACATGGGTGGCAGGGGCACAAGTGCCTGGACATCCTCTGCACCCCCCCGCCCCCCGGGCACATTAGCAGGAGGCTGGATTGGAAGTGGAGCAGCCAGGACTTGGACAGGCACTCCGATAGGGGATGCTTTAGTCCTAAGCAGTGGTTTAAGCCGCTGTGCCACAACACCAGCCCTCAATATAATTTTTTTTTACCGGCTTATTTCCTTGCCTGACAACTAAATAAATATGTGTGCTGTTGTTAGAGACTAATGTATGTTCTAGTGGTAACTAAAAATTTCACCATCATGGAGCAGATGTTGTACTTCAGGTTAAGCCACGGTTTGGGATGCCTGCATCTCATAACAGAGTGCCAGTTAAAGTCCTGGTTATTCCGCTTCTGATCCCGCTTCCTGCTAATGCATCTTGGGAGGCGGCAAATGACGGCTGAAGTGCTTGGGCCCCTGTCACTCTTGTTAGATACACAGATGGAGTTCTTGTCTTCTTGCTTTGGCCTGGCCCAGCCCTAGATGCTGCAGGTGTCTGGGGAGTGAGCCAAAGGATGGAAGACACCCCACCCCCCAACACACCACGTGCACACTCCATTGCTCTGCCTCTCAAGTAGATGGAAATGAACAAACATGTATGTTTCATCATTGCTTTCAATCTTTAACTATTTGGCTTCTGCAGATATTGGCAGGTCTCTCATCTGAGGGAAATATGTGCCACACTAAACAGTGATATCAAATTAATTTTTTTTCCTCTTTAAAACTTCTTAGAGGAACCAGTGCTGTGGCACGGTGGGTTAAGGCACTGTCTGCATTGCTGGCATCTAATATGGGTGCCGGTTCAAGTCTCAGATGCTCTATTTCCAATCCAATTCCCTGCTAATGTGCCTGAGAAAACAGAGGAAGGTGGCCTAACTGCTTGGGCCCCTGCACCCATGTGGGAGATGTGGATGAAGCTCCTAGCTTAGGGCTGGCCCATTCCTGGCAATTGTGGCCATTTGGGAAATGAAACAGCAAATGGAAGATCTCTCTCTTCCTGTCTTTCCCTCTCTCTGCAATTGACTTTCAAATAAATAAATAAATCTTTGGAAACAAAACAAAAAACCTTTTTAGAATTGTAGGATCTCTGTGTTATAAGGAAATTCAAGAAGCCAGGAGCCAGGAGCCTCTTCCGGGTCTCCCATGTGGGTACAGGAGCCCAAGGACTTGGGCCATCTTTTACTGCTATCCCAGGCCATAGCAGAGAGCTGGATTGGAAAAGGAGCAGCTGGGACTAGAACGGGCACCTATATGGTATGCCGGTGCTTCAGGCCAGGGCATTAACCCTCTGTCCCACAGCGCTGGCCCCAGCTCCTTATTTATTATTACTGCATGTTGCCTGGGATTAATTTCAGAACTTCTGAAAGAATCTCAGTCTAGCGTCATTATTTTTATGCTGTAAACTGAGAACTGAGAAGTTGAAGCAAGCAACTATAACTTCTGTCAGTAGTAGACTGTGCTGAGTGAATTTCCTTACTCCTGGGTGATATCATTAGCCTACAGCTTATAATCTGGGGAAAGTTAAAAACATTAAAGCATATCAAGAAAGGAGACACATTTATTACACAAGTGCACTTCTTCATCCTTTCTCTTTACATATGTTTCCCTATGGCCAGAACCAAATTTTCCCATAAGGATCTACACAATTGGCCTTTAGTAGAAACCTCCTCATGGAGCTGTGTGAAACCCTCTGAGCCTTACTTTTTTTTTTTAAGATTTATTTATTTTACTTGAAAGTCACAGTTACACACAAAGAGAAAAAGATGCAGAGACAGGGGAATCTTCCATCTGCTGGTTCACTCCCCAGATGGCCGCAACAGCCAGAGATGCGCCGATCCAAAGCCAGGAGCCTGGAGCTTCTTCCAAGTCTCCCACATGGGTGCAGGGGCCCAAGAGCTTGGGCCATCCTCTACTGCTTTCCCAGGTCATAGCAGAGAGCTGGGTCGGAAGTGGAGCATCCGGGTCTTGAACCGGCGCCCATATGGGCTGCCAGTACTGAAGGTGGTGGCTTTACCTGCTATGCCACAGCGCCCACCCCTGAGCCTTATTTTTAAGTTTTTTTTTTTAAGACTAAGTTAGTAATTGTGAAGTATTTAGAAATCTCACTGTGGCCAGGCACAACTCCAGGTATTATGCACAATGCATTTCCTTTGAATGAAATTCTGGTTGAAAGTTCTGAAACCCAAACCTGTTGTCTTGGAAACCATGTCACTTGCATGGCACATGTTCGGCTCCATAATGACCAGTGCCCTCAGGCTGGAAGCATACTGCTACGGAGGCACCTGTTCCCTCTTTTTAGGTTCACCGTATCATTTGCTGACAATATCATGGAAGCTCATGGCATGAGTCTTGTAGTTTGGGAATGAGAACACAGAATACTTGATTAGTTGAACAAGCTTTTTATTAACCAAGAGAAATGGTGGCCAGCCAGATTTTTGCTGAGAATCATATACTGAAAAAGCAAATCAATGAGTTTGATCCTAATTGGTGGTTTCCTCGAGCATCAGAATTCTCTAAAGGGGATACAGTTGGTCATCTGGAGATTCAGATTATTCTTCATGGTAAATTCAGGGATTTTCCTGCAAGAGAAGTATCTGCTTAGAGAAACCTAATTTGGAGAAATTGAGGAAAAATAAAAAAGGCTATCACTTTGCTAACCATACCCTTAGTGCAGCAGGAGGAATGCCAAACAATTATCCTCTGAATTAAGGCAGACTCAAGACATCTGAAGTTCATTGCAGGATAAAGAGTGGAAGTGGGCAGAGAAAAGGAGAGGGAAGTCTGTGCATGCCTGAGTGATTGTGGACCCCAGCAGAATCTCTGACAACTCCCATGGCACAAAAGTGTGGGCAGAGGCAGTGGAGTTGAGCTGAGGCAGGATGCTGTCAGAGCACTTGGAGGTTGGGGGTGTAGAAGGTGATGTCAGAGAGCACTCTGTGGGCCTGAGCATGTCCACGGCCACTGCGGACCTCTGTGTCTTGGAGTATTAATGTTGCTAACAGCAGCGCCCTCCCGGTGAGGTGGTTGTGTGGAGCACAGGTGGAGAGAAACCAGAACGTCATGTGACACAGCACAGGGCACGTGGTCAGCAGCTAAGCAGTAGTCATTGGTTCTTCTGTTAAAAATGTTATTTTTGTTGTGATCTTGCTGCATACAGTTTCTGTGCTGTTTTGGTGGAGGCCTGTGGGAAGGGGCTATTCTTCATTCATTCCCATTTTCCTCACGTTATAGCTAACCACTCTCATGAATTCAACATGTACTTTTCTGTCTTATGTACTTGTGAGAATTTGTATCATTGTTTCTGTTTTATTTTCAGGATACTTAATGGCAATTGTGTTATTTGCATTATTCAGTCCCTTGCTTCTCCTCTCTGGACAGTGCTTTAATACGATCTCCCGAGGGTGTTGTGACACAGCAGGTTAAGCCGCTGCTTGTGACGCCAGCATCCCATATCAGAGCGCTGGCTTGAGACCTGGCCTCTCCATTTCCGATCTGAATTTCTGCTAATTCCCCTGGGAAGGAAGCAGAATTTGGCACAAGTGCTTGGGCTCCTCCCATCCATGTGGGAGACCAGGATGGAGTTCTTGTTTCTGGTTTTGGCTTGGCCCAGACTTGGCTGTTGCAGCCATTTGAGGAGTATGCAAGTGGATGGAAGATCTCTTTGTCTCTTTTCTCTCTCCCTCTGCCTTTCAAATATATATATTTTTAAATAGAAAAGTGAAAGGTCTGCCCAGATTGCTAACTGTACACCTGATTTCTTCTGTAAGCAGCATTGATCAGCTGAGGACCCCTCCACAGTTGGTTTCTTGTCCACAAACCCGACAACTGCCACCCTGAATATCACTGCAGTAAATGTTTGAGTCACGTTACAAAGCAATGAGAGAATTTCTGTGATTTCCTAGGCTTGGAAATGCTGAACCATGAGATATATATTTAATTTCTTACCTTACCTAAAAAGTAGGGGCCAGCTTTGGGGCACAGTGGATTAAAGCCACTACTTGCAACACTGACATCCCGTTTCTGAATGCCAGTTCCAATCCTGGATGCTCTGCTTCCAGTCCAGCTTCCTGCTAATGTGCCTTGAAAGGCAGCAGAGGGTGATCCTGGTTCTTGCACCCCTGCCACCATGTGAGAGACCCAGGTGGAGTTTCTAGTTCCTGGCTTTTGCCTGGCCCAAGCCTGACTATGGCAGCCATTGAGGGAATGGATCAGGGGACTGAAGATTTCTCTGTCTGTCTGCCTTTCATGTAAATGAATGATAAATATGGGATGTCGACAACCCAAGCCGTGGTTTAACCCATTGCACTGCAATCCTGCTACAGTATTTCTGTGCCAAACATTGGCGCCTCTCATGGCCTCTTGGCTTCCCATATATCCGTGTTGACATTACCTAGGATTTTGTGCTGGGCTCTTTTGAATATAATTTCTTTATTTTCCCCATTTCTTTGATTCTAGACTAAGTTTTCCTAATTAACAATAGACTTTAAGAAAATATTTCATCATCCTAACTTCTTTTTGCGGACCCTGCTGGATGTTTCTCAGTATGTGCTTTTTTTATGTGATAACGATCTTAGACCTATCTTTTTTTTTTTTTTTTGACAGGCAGAGTTTGACAGAGAGAGACGCACACACAGAGAAAGGTCTTCCTTTCTGTTGGTTCACCCTCCAATGGCCGCCGCGGCGGGCGCAGCGTGCTGATTCGATGGCAGGAGCCAGGTGCTTCTCCTGGTCTCCCATGGGGTGCAGGGCCCAAGCACTTGGGCCATCCTCCACTGCCCTCCCAGGCCACAGCAGAGAGCTGGACTGGAAGAGGAGCAACCAGGACAGAATCTGGCGCCCCAACCGGGACTAGAACCCAGGGTGCCAGTGCCGCAGGCGGAGGATTAGCCAAGTGAGCCGCGGCACCGGCCTAGGTCTTAGGCCTATCTTAAGAATAGGATTTATATTATGATATTTGAATATAAAATTTTGTAGGACACATGTTTTGTGATCTATATAATATACTTCTTGCCCAAACATCATTCCTTAGAAATGGTCTGCTCAGGGTTGTTGCAGCCAGTTCCTGCAGCGAAAGGTCAGTAACGAGCCCTCCAAGGCTGTGTGGCCTGGGTCCTCCAGCCCTGCTCCGTACTCACACCTCTGCCCTCCCTCAAGGCTGCAGCCCCTCCACCAAGCCCAGGTCAGTTCACGAAAGCCTTGTGTCTCCCCAAGAGTGGTCTCATGTTTCTTCCTCCCCTTCCTCTTCCTCTTCTTCTCCTTGTCCTCTTCCTTCTCTTCTCTGCCTCTGTTTCTTTCCCTCTACCTTTCTCCCTTTTTTCTTCTGGAATCACTGCTTCCCTCAAATTTCAGTTGTTTCTCTAGGACTGATTTTAGGGAGTGATCAGGAGCCCATTGTAGTTCCACCGGTTTTTCACTAAGGCTGGCTCTTAGTGAAATCATGTATGCATGCATATGAGCACAGAAGCATTTTTTATCAAATCTCTATGTGCACTTTAGCACATGAGTGACCCTTGGCACACTCTGGACATCATTCTGTAGGTATCCCAAGTTTAAAAGTATCTGACACTGTGGCGTAGTAAGTTTAGCATCTGCCTGCAGTGTCGGCATCCCATATGGGCTCTGGTTCAAGTTCTGGGTGTTCCACTTCCGATCCAGCTCTCTGCTTGTGGTCTGGAAGAACAGTGGAAGATGGCCCAAGTGCTTAGACCCACGCATGCATGTGGTAGACCTGGAAGAAGCTCCTGGCTCCTGACTTTGGATTGGCCCAGCTCTGGTGGTTGCAGCCATTTGGGGAGTGAACCAGCAGATGGAAGACCTTTCTCTCTGTCTCTCCCTCTGTAATTCTGCCTCTCAAAACATCCCTTTGACACTAAGAGTTTGAAACAGACATAAGGTAAGGCTAGTGGTGCATTTGATAAGGGCTAAGGATTGAGGTGGGTCCAAATGTGAGAGGAGGGAATTCAGAATTTTTTATAAATTAGCCCATGTCAACGAGACTCTGACGGGGTAGGAGTCATGTGAGTTCTCTTTATAGTTACCCCAAATGAACATGCATAGCAGTCCTTCTGATTTCTCTTTAATGGGTACAGAAACATTCAATGTCTGGACCTTTCCTAAGGGAGTACCACATATGCTGCTTTGAGAATCAGATGAGCATATGAACTCATGATGGAGATTGTATCGGAGGATATTGTGATATAATTATTACTAAATTAGATATAATTGTCCTGCTTTACTTTATTTTCCTCTTCTGCAAGGACTTGTCCCAGTCCTATTGCCAGGCCTCATCAAGCCATAAATAGCTCAGTGGCATCAGATATTCTTGCTTGGATCCAATGGCCCCAACGTCAGTGACACAGCATCTAGACCTAGGACTGACGAAAGTTCTGCTCCATTCAGTTTCAGAATAACTGTTCACATTCCAATGAGGGTTTTTTTGTCATTATCTCAGATACTGGGCATGAGAAGAACAAGAGAGGGTAGAACAGATGTCCTTTACTGTTGGATTATTAGGTCAAAACATGTGTCTTCTGGATATGAGGTGTATTCAGTGTAATAACAACATTGTGAGTGTTAAGGAAGCTGGCTTATTTCTTAAAGGTACATTCTGGAGCATGTAGGAGTGTCTGACGTGATACCTGACACTTGGGTTAATAAACTTCATCAAAGACAATAGAGAAAAAAAAAGAACAGAGGAAGGAAATGGGCAGAAACTTTACAATGTATTGAATCTATGTGGTAGGGATATGAGGTTCATTATGCATATTATTGTGTCTACTTTTATATGTTTTAAATTTTTCATAACATTAAAATTCTCTACAACAATGAGTTTTTTTTTTTTTTTGACAGGCAGAGTGGACAGTGAGAGAGAGAGATAGAGAGAAGGGTCTTCCTTTTGCCGTTGGTTCACCCTCCAATGGCTGCCATGGCCGGCACGCTGCGGCCGGTGCACCGCGCTGATCCGAAGGCAGGAGCCAGGTGCTTCTCCTGGTCTCCCATGGGGTGCAGGACCCAAGCACTTGGGCCATCCTCCACTGCACTCCCTGGCCACAGCAGAGAGCAGGCCTGGAAGAGGGGCAACCGGGACAGAATCGGCGCCGGCTACAATGAGTTCTTAAATATATCTTAGTTCTGAAAATGAAAAGTAAAAGTGACTTTACTTACACATGATCCATCGTGCAGTTTAGTTACGTTAAGCCCATCAAATCTGAAATAAAATATTCTGAAATTATTTTTTTCCTTCTGGGGCAAATAATATAACAGAATTTTACCTCATAATCTTTGCGTGAGTTTGAGGAGAAAACATTCTGCTAATAGTGATCTTTAAAAAAAAAAGATTTAGGCCGGCGCCGCGGCTCACTAGGCTAATCCTCCGCCTAGCAGCGCCGGCACACAGGGTTCTAGTCCTGGTCGGGGCGCCGGATTCTGTCCCGGTCGCCCCTCTTCCAGGCCAGCTCTCTGCTGTGGCCAGGGAGTGCAGTGGAGGATGGCCCAGGTGCTTGGGCCCTGCACCCCATGGGAGACCAGGAAAAGCACCTGGCTCCTGGCTCCTGCCATCGGATCAGCGCGGTGCGCCGGCCGCAGCGCGCCAGCCACGGCGGCCATTGGAGGGTGAATCAACGGCAAAAGGAAGACCTTTCTCTCTGTCTCTCTCTCTCACTGTCCACTCTGCCTGTCAAAAAAAAAAAAAAATTATTTATTGGGGCTGGCACTCCCTAGCTGGCCTGGGAAAGCATTAGCTTTGGAACATCAGTGTATAGGAGACAATTGCCACTGATTTGTTCACTTTACAGTAATTAATTTTGTGTCATCTGAATTTCATCTCAATTGAAAAAAAAATATATATCCATTTCAGCCCGTTGATAGCTATGAGACCTTTGGCAAGTCACTCCTCTCTGGCTTTGATGTCTTCATTGGAAAGGGAGCTTTGGGCAGGGCTAGCTGTACAGATGGAGAAGGAAGGCCCTTGGGAGTCTTTCCTCCATGAAAACAATACTCTGTAATTAAGTTAGCATTAACACAAATTAGATTGGTACAAGTTAAAATTTTTCTTGTTATCCTCAGGACAACTGCTAAGTACAGTTTGTGTGTGTGTGTGTGTGTTTTCTTTGTAGTGAAAGGGAGCTCTTCGGAGGCCCTCTCTCAGGCATCTCCTGCCTCTGGTGGCCTTTGAGTCTGAGGTGCTGGGGGTCCCCAGGCTGTATGTTCTGATTGCCAGGTGTCTGTGCCAGCAATTGAGACTGGCATTCACAACTCTTTTTTTTTTTTAAGGGAAAGGGAAACGTAACATTTTTTTTTTTTTTTTTTTTGACAGGCAGAGTGGACCGTGAGAGAGAGAGACAGAGAGAAAGGTCTTCCTTTGCCGTTGGTTCACCCTCCAATGGCCGCCATGGCCGGCGCGCTGCGGCCAGCGCACCGCGCTGATCCGATGGCAGGAGCCAGGAGCCAGGTGCTTTTCCTGGTCTCCCATGGGGTGCAGGGCCCAAGCACCTGGGCCATCCTCCACTGCACTCCCTGGCCACAGCAGAGAGCTGGCCTGGAAGAGGGGCGACCGGGACAGAATCCGGCGCCCCGACCGGGACCAGAACCCGGTGTGCCGGCGCCGCTAGGCGGAGGATTAGCCTAGTGAGCCGCGGCGCTGGCTGGCATTCACAACTCTTATGATTTCTAGTTTGTGTTTTAGTGTTTGTAGCAAGGAATGCAAATAAAATAAAATAAAATAAAATAAAAGAAGTCCAATTATGCCCAGCCAAATGTTTCCCATTCCAGTCAAAAAGATTATTGTTCCTTCTCTTGGGGAAAAGCCAGGAGGAGGAAGGGGAGAGAGACAAGAGTTTGATCTCTGTGTTTTTGCTTTTTTCTTTTAAGATACTGGACCTACTCTCTAAAAGTTAGCTGGGCAAGAGTGTGAATTTCCTTCTTAAAGAAGAAAGCTCCCTCCTAAGGAGCTTCCTGGATGCAAACCTTTGTGTCTCCCCACTCACACTGGGCCAAAACAGTTGGCATTTTACTAGGGTGGCACCCAAAGCTTCTAACACATGATGGGCCCAAAGACTAAACCACATACTGTGCTGACAACTAAAGGAACATGTGTTGAGGAATAATGCCATTCAAAGCTCAGTGAACCACTAGCTGGGAAGATGCTTCACCAGGCCTGGCTGGGGGCTGGGCATTCTATGGACACATGATCTGGATGCCAGCTACTGCTGCTGAGATCCCTCCACTTGGTCCTTCACCTCAGTGGCTCCCTGCCTCTGCAAGGTCTGAAAGGGTCCCATAAACCTTTCGGAAAAACAGGGCAGGGTGGAAGAAATGCAGGAGTCTCTGGAGGGGAAGATCCACCTGGATGACGCAGGAAGTGGGATGAGGATGTCACCCTGAGTTGGCCTACGTTAGGTTCCTGGGCTGAGACATGGAAGAAGAAGGTTGTACTTACAGGATTTTGAAGCAGAGGTGGCACTCTCCACTGTAGGTGACCCGATCACTGCCACATATGAGCTCACTAGGCTGGAAGTAGGACAAAAGCCAGCACCTGTTTATGTTCTTCATGCATTCAGCCTGAAGGTGAGACACAGACCACTGCTTCAGACCCCGTCCCCTGGGCCCTTGGACCATTATCAGCGCTAGGAGCCAGGGGAGGGGGTGGAGGAAGGAGCAGCACACGGGGAGTTGGGAGAATGGCCTTTAGAAGCCTATGTTGGATCCTGGCACTTAGCACCACCAAGGTGTATATAATTGTAAGATTATATGTAATCTGTGCACTCCCTAGTCCCACGTAAATTCCTTATTAAGATGAAAATCTGGGGCTGGTGTTGTGGCACAGCAGGTTAAACTGTAGTTTGTGATCCCTCATCGCATATCGTAGTGCTAGTTCAAGTCCCAGCTGCTCTGCTTCCAATCTAGTTCCCTACTAATGTGCCTGGGAAAGCAGCAGAAGATGGCCCAAATACTTGGGTCCCTGCCACCCACATGGGAGAGCTAGATGGAGTTCCTGGTTCCTGGCTTTGGCCTGGCCCAGCCCCAGCTGTTGGAGACATTTGTGGAGTATCCCGGCCATTGTGGCCATTTGGGCAGTTAACCAGTGGATGGAAGATTGGAAGATATTCTCTCTCTCTCTCTCTCTCTCTCTCTCTCTCTCTCTCTCTCCCTTTCAAATAAATAAACAAATAAAAAAAAAAAAGACGAAGGATACTGGTGTTGTGGCATGGCTGTGTGGCACTGGCCTCCCACATGGGCAGCAGTTCAAGTCCTGGCTGCTCTACTTCTGATCCAGCTCCCTGCTAATGGACTGGGAAGGTTGTGGAGGATGACTCAGTGTTTGTGTCCCTGCACCCGTATGGGATCCAGAGGAGGCTCCCAGCTCCTGGCTTCAGACCAGCCCAGCTCCGGCTGTTGCAGCCATCTGGGGAGTGAATCAGCAGATGGAAGCATTCTATTTCTCTCTCTCTCTCTCTCTCTCTCTTTCTCTGTCTCTCACCTTTTCTTTCTCTCTGTAATTCTGCCTTTCAAATAAACAACTAAATCATTTTAAAAATAGATTTGAAAAGAAATGTTTGCAAAAGATGAAAACCCTTGACCCTACCAACCACAAAATGTGATTGGTAGGTAGCAAAAGTAGGAAATGTCTCTCAAAGTTAGACGTTCTCATGAACCTGGCTGAGTGCTTATCATATGTGATGCCTCAGATGGCAGCAGCTCAAAACTGGTCACAGCGGGGTAGGACATAGGATGGGGCTGACAGATCATAGGGTCTTGGTATGAAGGAGGAGGGATATGTGGCCAGGCACACTATGAATGAAAGAGTGTCCACTGCAATGTAGGACCAACCTGAATTTGAGCTGGGACCTGGTCATCCATTTGGTGGTGCAAAATCCTTACCTTCTATCCACAGGAGAGTTGTAGGAGCTGACTGGGATAACGCACAGGAAGAGGGATCAGGAACATATAAAATGTGCTACAGGTACTTGGTGACTCAGCTTCCATGGTTGTGTCATTCCCATGCAAGTCTCCTCTGTCCCCCACCTGCCAGAAGGAGGAGCTGGGGCTGGGACCAAAACCAGAACTCTCTGCAAGGAAACAGAGCTCACCTTTGTCTCTTCTAGGTGAGCTTCCTTGGAGTCCAATGGAAGAGGGAAATCTGGAAGACAAAGCACACATGGAGGGGATGTTTCTCTGTCTTCTGCCTTCAGGGAAGAGGTAGGATGAGGGAGGCGCTGGCACTCATGTAGAATCAGGAACCTTGTGCCCCTCACCCTCTGTGGATCTGAATGCTGGCCCTTGCCTGTCATGGGTGAATGACAGCCACAGTGATCCCTGAAGCTGTTTTTAGAAAGCATGCGCTGAGTTACAGATTACCATGGAGTAGCTGGATTGGGAATGCCTGAAGACGTTCATTAAAGCTAACTTGGCTAACATCTTCACTCCAAGGCAGTCTTTGCGGTTATATCAGTGCTGTATATAAGTATTTGTGTAATAATATAATAATGAAACGACTGAAATCTTTACTTAATGTACACTAAACTGATCTTCTGTAAAAAAAAAAAAAAAAAAAAAAAAAAAAAAAGAAATTATCAATTCCCAACTTGACTCTCACTGGGATTAAACATGACAATAGGTCTGATCTGATTTCATCATCATTTAAAAAAAATCATCTATTATTTTTCACTTTATGTTTCTGTGTGGGAGCAAACTGTTGAAATACTTACTTAAGGTATACTAAGCTGATCTTCTGTATATTAAGATAATCGAAAATGAATCTTGATGTGAATGGAAGGGGAGAGGGAGTGGGAAAGGGGAGGGTTGTGGGTGGGAGGGACGGTATGGGGGGGGAAGCCATTGTAACACATGAGTCGTACTTTGGAAATTTATATTCATTAAATAAAAGATAAAAAAAAATAAAAAAAAATAATATAATAATGACACATTATCTTCTTTTATAATATATAGTATATATGCTATACTATTAGCTATGTTATAAGCATAGTTTATTATTTTTAACAATTATTTATTTTTTATCTGCTTAAAGGCAGAGAGAGACACACACAGAGACAAAAAGAGAGATCTTCCATGTGCTAGTTTACTCCCCAGATGCCCACAATAGCCAGGACTGGGCCAAGCCAAAGCCAGGAGCTCAGGGCTCTATCCAGGTTTCCCATGTAGGTGGCAGGAGCCTGGACACTTGAGCCAACATCTGTTGCCTCCCAAGTGTATCAAAAAAGAAGCTGGATTGAAAGCAGAGGTGCTGGGACTTGAACCTGTACTTGGATATGGGATATGGATGGCCCTAAGTAGTGGCTTAATCCACTGAACCAAAATGCCTGCCCTACACATCAGTTTTATTCAGATATAATTCATATATCATAGACTTCATCTATTTAAAATATACATACAGTCCATTGGTACTTAGTATATTTACATCAGTCATCAGCATAATCACCACAAAAATTAGAAAATTGTCATTATCCAAGAAGTAATTCTGTACCCATTAGTAGTCACTTGTGCCCACCTCCCAACAATTTCCCCTTCCACTCCTATTACTGACAGGTAGAATTATAGACAGTGAGAGAGAGAGAGACAGAGAGAAAGGTCTTCCTTCCGTTGGTTCACCCCCCCAAAATGGCCGCTACAGCCGGTGTGCTGCGCCGATCTGAAGCCAGGAGCCAGGTGCTTCCTCCTGGTCTCCCATGCAGGTGCAGGGTCCAAACACTTGGGCCATCCTCCACTGCCTTCCTGAGCCACAGCAGAGAGCTGGACTGGAAGAGGAGCAACTTGGATTAGAACCCGGCGCCCATATGGGACGCCGGCGCCACAGGCAGAGGATTAACCAAGTGAGCCATGGCACCGGCCCGATTACTGTTAAGTCCTGGTAATTGCTAGATGACTGCTCTGCTGTTTCCAACACTTCTCAGAGGTGCTAAGGGACAGGAGTTGTGTCTCAGTGGGTTAAACTGCCACTTGGGATGCCTGCATCTCATATCAGAGTGCCAGTCTGAGTTCTGCTAAGGTGCCTGGGAGGCAGTGAACCAGGTGTTAGATAGGAAGTTAGAAATTAGCCTCTTTGTGTGAGAGGGGCCTGAGAGGGGCATCTGCTGAGGAAGCCCCAGAAGCCCAGCATTTTGCACCTCAAAGTCCTGCCCAGACCCTGATAACCTGCCAGGTGGTCCCAGCCCTTCTTCCAAAGAAAGCTCCCAGGAGAATTCTCTCTCCTCAGGACCAAAGGGGTTACCTGACCTGATAACATGGGGCCCCTCAGCTGCAGCAAACCTGGGGAGGAATTTGCAAAACGCTTTACCCTAAAGGAGAAGGGGGAGGAGTAAAGAGACTCCCTTAAAAACTGGGAGTCTAAACAAAGACTGCTCGCTCAGCCCTCTGCTCTCTGCTGAGCCCGCCCAGCCTGGCCTGCCCAGGTGTATTCTCTCCATTCAACCATGTAATCTCACTCTCCCCCGGTCCCAGTGACTGGGCACTCTCTCCCTATCCCTTCCATTCTGACAGGTGCCCTGTCCCCAATACAATCTTATTACTTTGCTCTCTGTCTCACACCTGAATTCTTTCTTGCGTGAAGATAAGAACCCAGGCTGGCGCCGTGGCGCAATAGGCTAATCCTCTGCCTGTGGCACCGGCACACCGGGTTCTAGTCCCGGTCGGGGCACCGGATTCTGTCCCAGTTGCCCCTCTTCCAGGCCAGCTCTCTGCTATGGCCCAGGGAGGCAGTGGAGGATCGCCCAGGTCCTTGGGCCCTGCACCCACATGGGAGACCAGGAGAAGCACCTGGCTCCTGCCTTCGGATCAGCGCGATGTGCCGGCTGCAGCAGCCATTGGAGTGTGAACCAACGGCAAAAGGAAGACCTTTCTCTCCGTCTCTCTCTCTCACTGTCCACTCTGCCTGTAAAAAAAAAAAAAAAAAAAAAAAAAGACAAGAACCCATGGCTTTTCTCTGGTGACACAAGTACTTGGGCCTCTGCCTCCCACAAGAGAGACCTGGTTGGATTTCCTGGTTCCTGGCTTTGGACTGGTCCAACCCTGTTGTTGTGGGCATTTGGAGAGTGAACCAGCAGATCGAAGATCTTTTCCTCTCTCTCTGCCATTCTCCCTTTCAAGTAGATAACTTCAAATTTTTTTTTACAAATCAAATTTCTTTTAAGAAAATCCTCAAAGGCATAAATTACTCCATAGTGTGATCCAATTAAAATTCGACACCCGCTCCCCCCTTTACAGTGTGGTTTTAGGACCAGCTTTTGAGGTTTGCTCTGACCCCCAGGGAGTTCTTCACAGCAGTCTTTATTTCTCTCTGGGAAAGCACTGGCTGTTCTCACAGAGCCACCTGCTTCCTTGTCACTGCCAACCAACCAAATCTGGCAGTTTTGACAGGCCCTCAGGCTTGGATTTTCCCATTCTATTCCAAACGCAGAGTCACCTTCTCTTCTGCAATAACTCTGTAGTCTTCCTTGCAGAAGTCTCTGGAGCTCTCTGTTCTTATGCTTGCCTCTTCGTCCCAGGAAAATGTCTCTGTTGCTCTGGACGGTGGCCTGCTTACCTCTGTCATCCGCTTTACGTGCAGGACACTGTGCAGAGGCAGTGGCCTCTGATCCTCTCGGCTTGTTTCCTCCCAGTGTGGAACCTCCAACCTACAAGCCAGCTGCCATGAACCCACTGTTCTCACCTGGGGCAGAATGGAAGCAGTGGAGAAGCAGAGCCCCTACGTCTTGGCCTTGCTCTCCACGGAGCTGGAGTGGAGCCATGAAAAACATTGGTGACCTTCCTCTCCCAGGGAGAAATCTTTGTCCTGAGCTATAAGCTAGGGAGAGACAGAGGCTCACCTTCCTGGCCACACCTGCCCAGTGTGGAGGTCCCATCCTGCTGAGCTGGGCAGGGGGTGAGAATGTGAGATCCAGCTTAAGTGCTGCAGACTCCCTATTCTTACCTTTTAAAGCACTTCTCAAAGTGCATGTTAAAACTTGGTGGACTGTGGTGTCTGTGTATCTGCCATCCCTGGTAGGGCACAGTGTGAGGGCAGAGACCACTCCTGCCACAGAAGCAGTGTCTACAATGTTAGCACACGTTATTTGAGAGGTCTTCAAAAAAGTTCATGGTAATTGAGTGTTATGAAAAAACTCTGCATGGATTTCAATATTTTTCCACAAAAACAAGCTTGTCTTTTAATTCCAATTCCCCCACAAACATTTTGAAATACCTTCAT